TACCCTGTAAATCGCTTTGATGGACGTCGTTTCGATATTCGTCGTCGCACCTTTTAGGAACCCATCCCCGACATACACCAGGGTATTACGGAAAAGTTCTGATTCCTAACAAAGTTGTTGCAGCCACAACGTGCCATGCTTGTCAGTTCGAAATGGCCAATGGACGCCCTGAGAGAATGGCGAAATGCATTGGAGAGCTGATTAAAAAAAAAAATTATACATAGCTCCATAATAGAGGTTTTTGGGTTAGATTGTGTAAACGTGAATGTGTCGTTAAATCCGCCACCAACCGACGCAGCTAATTAGTAAGGGTTGTCACGTAAAGAGAACGTGCCAATCCGTTACTCGTACAGCGCACCGGTGTGTCGGAAGGTAAACCGACAACATTTACAATCCGAGAACGACGTTTCGCCAGAAAATTATAACTATCATCATCAGGTGACAGCCAGAGGTCTGGGATGTTTAGAATTTGGCTTGTTTTGTTAACGTGACGAACCTTACTCATTGACTGTCGGTTGGTGGCGGGTTTAACGACGCGTTTATGTTTACGCGATCTAACCCAAAAAAAACCTTGATTATGGATCACATTGGTTGCGAAAGCCTACGTGTTATTAAACTTATATGAAGCTGTTCGTTGTTACGATATATGCCGTGTCACCAAGAAAGATAGGTGGCCTCGCTCCGACAACGCTGCATGTCAGACTACCTTGGAAACATTCGAATGCATCAACCACTCCATGTTTGTCTTTAGCAAGGGCTCCATCTGCTGACAGAAGCCAGCCAGATAATGAAGCCAACCTATCGCATGATTTAGACTTAAAACTTTCGTGACTGCAGGAATTCATATTCTTGGTTCTTTCGGTAAAGTCACGTAGATAGAAAACTAAAATCTAAATTAAAAGCTTGTGTTGCGATCGAAACGTCGCGGGGTTTTTTCTTTCTTTTAATTTTGATTTTTGTTTTCTATCTACGTGACTTTACCGAAAGAACCAATAATATTATCGCATGATGTTTGATTTCTGAATCTTTTTTAGATTTTCGCCAAAATATTGCATCGACGTATTTAGTATATCTTCGGCAACATATTAAATAACTTATTTAGTGTATCCTCAATTATCGACATCATATAAAATATATAAAATCGTCACATCAAGAGGTATTAAACATGTTCCATTGCCAAACACAAATGCCGCATTTCAGTAAGTTGTCTATTTTCAACTGGTCGTGCCTGCTGAATCGACGAGATATTTTAAGTGTTTAAAGTCTGGTTGGATCGTGTGTGGGATGCATTGCAGCTCAATACCGTGCATGATCAATCTACATTTGAAGTTTTCGTGACTGCAGGGATCCATACTCTTTGGTTTTTTCGGTAAAGTCACGTGGGCATAAAATAAATTAAATCACGACGTTTCGGGCGCAACACCAGCGACGTTTCGGGCGCAACACAAGCGTCCGTTTGTGTTGCGCCCGAAACTTCATGATTTAATTTATTTTATTTTATACCTACGTGACTTTACCGAAAGAACCAAAGAGTACCGTGCATGATATTCGTTGCCCTGTCTTTATACATTTAGTTTTGGCCACTATATTTCACACGCTTATTCAAGATATCATCAATGAATTGACAACACATTAAATGCGTTGCCGATAATTGAGGATATGCTCAATGAGTTAATTAAAGGGGTGCCGTGGTGGTGTGGCGTTGACCACCTCATCTGGCATGCAGGAGGACGTGGGTTCGACCCCGACCCTGGCTCCTGTATATTTGGAGTTTGCATGTTCTCCCCGTGGTCGCATATATTTTTCTCCAAATCTTCCGGTTTCCCTCCACATTTAGAAACACGCTTTAGGAGGATATTTGGCTGCTATAAATGTCCACATAACAATTAAGCCGCTTCGTTGGGCTGTTATTTGTAACGAGGTCGTTTCTGAAAAAGATCTTTATAGCTCAGTGGGTTTTGCCTGGTAAACTAAGAGTTTAATTTAGTAAATATATTGCTGAAAATCGAATATATTTAAAATAGCAACAAACATCATGCCACAGCCATTAGCTTGTGTCCCTTATCGATGAGACCCCAACCTTCTCAGGAATGACTACCAGCTGGGGAGCAACACGCTTGTTAACTTACCTGTCCCACTCATGTTTATCATCACCCAGCATTGTTTCACAAAACCTGACTGCTGATGAAACTCACAACGTTAAAACACCGGTCGAGAGTTTGGTTTGCTTAAACAATTGCTGCTTGATGAAATGTGTACGGAAATAAAATAGGCTGATGAGACTCAAACATATTTCTGTTGTTTATATGTGGAGACATTTAGATTATTTCGATTATTTTGCTGCTATAAAGTGGCACGTGAAAAGCCACTTTGTAAAGTTATTATGTGGCCATGTCGCGTATGAAAAATAAGCTCAGTGCGCTTTACCCGGTGAGATAACACAAATTGTTTAGCTTCATTTGTATATATTTTAAGTGATTTGTTTACCTTCCCTATACTTTTCACTCCTCTCGTGTTTTTGTATTGTTTATTGTTGTAAAGTTCTGACCCACCCCGACTGGACATCTGTAAAAGTGATGTAAAGCTATTCGGATTCCTCCAGTATTCATAAATATTCTGATTCTGCGTCGGGTGGTGGCGGGTTTAACGACACATTTATATATTTTATACGCGATCTAACCCCCCCCCCCCCCCCCCAAAAAAAAAAACCTCATGGATTCTGGTTCTGTTTGAAGCCTTGGCGTTGTGTGTTGTGCCTTTGGATGCCGAATGAGTCGTTCCCGAGTGTGGTCAGGCGGTGGAGTGCAAGCAGCCTTGGGGGCAATTCGAGCCGAAAAACTTAAAAATAAACTATTTTTTATTTCACCAGGTAAGGCTCACTGAGCCTACGTAGCTCTTTTTTCAGAAGCGGTCTGGCCACAAATCATAGCTCAACGACGCGGTTTGTCACGTACAAATGTAAAGCAGCCAAATATTCTAAAACGCGCAATGTAAATTCTAAATGTGGAGGGAAAACCCCGAGGACCCGAAGAAAAATCCACGCGACCACGGGGAGAGAGACACCGCAAACTCGAAAGATGTAGCAGGCGTTAGGGTCGGGATCGAACCCACTCGCTCCTGTGTACCAGGCGAGGTCGTTAACGTCTCCTAGCCACCATGGCACCGAAGGGAGAATCTGCTTTTGGCGGTAGGGAAGGTGGTGCAATGGTGACGCTTGAAGCCGCCTCACAGCATGAAGGGTGCTGGATTCGATTCCCGACTCGGGCGTCTCTCTGTGTGGAGTTGGTATGTTCCTCCCCACGCCTCCCTGTTCTGCATGGGTTTCCTCCTGGTTCGCTGGTTTCCTCCCACAGCTAAACACATAACAACGTAACTGGTTTTGATTAAAATCTTTCGTGACTGCAGGGATTCATAATCTCGGTTCTTTCGGTAAAGTCACGTAGAAGGGAAACAATAAAATAATAAAAATATTAAACAATAAAATTCTCACGACGTTTCCACTGCAACACAAGCAATCATCATCAGGTGTGAAAACCACAACAGGTGTGAAAACCACAACAAGAACATTTTCTTGTTGTGGTTTTCACACCTGATGATGATTGCTTGTATTGCAGTCGAAACGTCGTGAGAATTTTATTGTTTAATATTTTTATTATTGTTTCCCTTCTACGTGACTTTACCGAAAGAACCAAGAATATAACGTAACTGGTATTGGCCAAATACCCCAATGTTGATAAAAAAAACCTGCACATTGGAGCAGCATGATCTCCTACTGCGAGAACTTGGCCGGGACCCTGCTCATAAAGAGTCGCATCTTCACATTTGAGAATTGGGGCTATGAAGACTCCGGTTACACAGTGGCCATCTCTTGAGAATGACGTCACAGCGTCTGTGACATCCAGCAGTGGATGATGATGATGATGATATATTTCCTGTATGGATAATTTATCAATGGTGATTTGCTTACCTTTCCTATACTTTGCACTCCTATGGGTTTATTTTTTTAATTTTTTGCTATTGTAACTTTCACACACCCCTACGTGATATTCCCCTGAGTGAGTTATCATTTGTGATAGCCAGGTCGCTTCTGAAAAATATCTATATAGCTCAGTGGAGGGCCTTACCTGATAAAATAAAAAGGAATAGTAAAGAGTAGGTGCTGTATTCGTAGCATTGTAAAATATATATTTTAAAATATATATGAAAAACAGCTTCACAGCTCATCGGATTTATCCAGGGGACATGACGTCATCCATCTCCAAACCACCAGTTGCTGGAGAAAGAGACCCCCACCGCCCCCTAAACAGCCCCGCCCCCTCAGGACATGACGTCATCCATCTCCAACCGACCAGATGCTGGGGAGAGAGACCTCCCGCTCCCTTACATCCCCCCCCCGCACACGTGACGTCATTCATCTGAAACCCACCAGTTGGGGAAAGCACCCCCGCCCCCAATACATGACGTCATCCATCTTCAAACCACCAGTTGCTGGAAAAAGAGATCCCCCCGCCCCCTTACACCCTCGCCCCCTCTGGACATGACGTCATCCATCTCCAACCCACCAGTTGCTGAGGAGAGAGACCCCCGCCCCCTTACACCCTCCCGCCTTCCCCCCATAGACATGACGTCATCCATATTCAAACTACCTGTAAAGAAATCCCCCCGCCCCCTCTGGACATTACGTCATCCATCTCCAACCGACCAGATGCTGGGGAAAGAGAGACCCCCCCCGCCCCCTTACACCCGCCCCCTCCCGTAGACGTGACGTCATTCATTTCAAATCCACCAATTACTGTGGAAAGCACCTCCCGCCCCCCCCATACTTGACGTCATCAATCTCCAACCCAACCAGTTTGCGGAGGAGAAAGAGAAGACCCCGCCCCTCCCTGGACAATGACGTCGCCCATCTACAACCGCCCCACAGGACGTCACCACGTGATGCCGCTCCGCGAGCGTTGATTGGCCCTCGTGTCTTTCTTCCCCCTTTCCCGCGCGTTCGCGATCCGTTTGAAGCAGCGACAAAAAAAATTTGAATCTCGCGGCGCTCAACGGCTCCCTGCGCCTGGCGACTTCAAATCGACGTTCGCGCGCGAACGAGCGGTGTCGGTGCGAGTCTTTTTTAGTTTCAAGACACGAGCAGAGCGCGATTCCGTCCTCGTTACCTCGCAATCGTTTCGCTCCAATAACAACAACAGCAGCAACAAAAGGCCTTTTGCGTTTTTTTTTGTTGAGATGGCGACGAGCGTTTTGGACGCTGCTCCGCTGAAGGTGAGAGGTTTTGTAACGTGGTGTGTATGGCGGTAGCTTGCAGGCGGCGCGCCGCGCCACTTTAGCTCGGGCTTGAAAGACGCAGGGCCCTCGTTAACGCGATGCTTGCTGGGCTTTACCACCGGCGTTCGCCGAGTATAAAGTTTACATCGGTTTAGGGATGACGGCAATACCGTGCGCGCGTGGTGTAAGTCTCTTAAAAGATTGTTTGACTGAATGCGTAATACAAAGGTGTCAATAGTGACGCGGTATGGCCTTAAAATGAGCGTATATACTCGACGTTTCGCGTAATTACCCTTGATTATAGGACGTACCGTTTTTATACTAAATATGCAATCAATTCAACGCACATGAGCGCCACCCTAAAATGTTTCGTCTAACCAGTCGCAGTGACATTACTTTCAGGTATATACGTTTAGTTGTGTTTTACCTGTGAATAGCAACGTTTATAACACCGTAGAAAAATTATGTTGTGTTCCTGGGTAGTGTTATTTTCTCATTATTTATGCCTCAAAAGTACAGAAAATGGCTATTATTCCCCACAAACTTTGCTTTTGTGACCAGGACAGTGATATTTTGAAATGTGCTTATTTTCAATGAGGAAACGCGTGCATTTGTGTCATTCCTTCACATAAAGTCCTGGTCACAAAAGCAAAGTTTGTGGAGATTAAGAGCTATTTTCTATACTTTTGAGGCGTAAGCAATGCGAAAATAACACTACCCAGGGACAAAAATCGTGTTACATCGTGTAAATCAACGACGTTCACTCGTCACGTTAGTTTTGTTTAACCGCGTGAGATCGCCATCGGTTAAGTTTTGATTTAAAGCTTTCGTGACTGCAGGGATTCATATTCCTTGTTCTTTCGGTAAAGTCACGTAGAAAGGAAACAATAAAATAAAAAATAGTCCCTTCTACGTGACTTTACCGAAAGAACCAAGAATATCGGTTAAGTTGTTGCTACGTACGAGTGAATAAGCAAAATCGCAACATTGTAAATTGCTGAGCGATGTTATTTGCAGAAAAAATATATCTTTTTAAGTGGTGCATTCGGACGCGATATATAAATCTAAATCGTGTTACGGAATTGGGACTTGTTACTGGCAAGTGCAGTACCGTAAACAAAACGGTGGGCTGCGTGGTGGGTCAGCAAAGTCCATGTTTGCTCCTCAAACAACTCAAACAACACATTAATAAATAACAATTCCATAAGCATGTTTCATAGACGTTTCTGGAAATGGTCCATTTTCCAAGCACAGGCCGCTGGCTTTAATCTAAGTTGTCTTGTGGTTGTTGTTTGACTTGCATCCCACTGGGATTTTTGCACACATCGTTCGTGTGCGGTGCTTGTTCTGGAAGATTCTGCTGGGTTTTTTTCCTGGATTTTTCTGTTTGCGCATAGTCACTTTAAGATGATTTCTTGTTCATGTCTTTTTGTTTGTTGCGGTTGCATCCCATTCAAGAGCCGATTGGCTCACAGGGCTATACCAAATGACTGAATACTGCATATAGGAATAGGTTTAACCCTTTTAACTGGCACAAAAAACTGACACCTTTATTCAAGGCATCATGTTTGCAATAACCACAACACAAGCAGTCAAAATGCAAACAAAAAAGACAACTCTGATAATAATATGCACTGTCCTTGAATTTGATTGGTCCACACCCGAGACAGCTTTTCTTAGAGCCTAGTCTCCATTGGTGTTGGACCAGAAGACGCCAAAAGGCGTACAACTCAAAAACAGCTCTTGTGTTGTGGTTATTGCAAACATGATGCCTTGAATAAAGGTGTCAGTTTTTTGTGCCAGTTAAAAGGGTAAACCTATTTCTATATCTTGTTTCTGGCAAAGGAGGTCTCATAATGTTAATGCTCACCCCGAGCCCTCAATACTCTGATAGTGCGCTGTTTTTGAGTTGTACGCCTTTTGGCGTCTTCTGGTCCAACACCAATGGAGACTAGGCTCTAAGAAAAGCTGTCTCGGGTGTAGACCAATCAAATTCAAGGACAGTGCATATTATTATCAGAGTTGTCTTTTTTGTTTGCATTTTGACTCCTTGTGTTGTGGTTATTGCAAACATGATGCCTTGAATAAAGGTGTCAGTTTTTTGTGCCAGTTAAAAGGGTAAAACCTATTCCTATATCTTGTTTCTGGCAAAGGAGGTCTCATAATGAATACTGCATGTTGTATAAGACGCGGGGTATAAACGCCCTCCGGTGGACGTTGTGACCCTGTGGTATATCGGTAACGCCATTACGCGATTTATAATGGCTGCAAAAACTTTGTCGCGGCCGACGTTGATGGCTTATACTGAAGCTCTAATTACATCACATTTGCACAACTGCATTAATTGCAGTTCATTCAATTGTGCAACACTTATGACGATATGCAGCAAAATCTTTACGAACTAATTTCCATTTGACTAACACCGTATTGTACACAATTAATGTAGCAAATTGCATATGTCATGATATAACTTGGCAACGTTTCTCTGCAGCCCAATATATGAGTGCACGTCTGATGTTAATGTTATCGAGTGGAGTGCATTTGTTGGAAATTGACACCAATTTTTGTTTACAGGAGCATCGGCTTTAAAAATGAATTAATTGCGAAATCCTCTGCAGATTCTACCAGTACATTGCAAATCACTTCTCCGGAGGGGTTTGGCTCCCATTGGATTGTTGCATTGGACGTTATGCTCTTGTACATTTCCAGGTCAAAGTGTTATTAATTGTGAAATGTGGAAATTTTTCGTTTGTAATGTCCTCGGCAAGAGAAGCATTGTTGGTTTAACGCGTCTATTCTTCCGACCCGGCGTTTGGTATGTACAGGGCTTGACAGATGAACCATGTAGTTTAGATATGTTGACTAGTATAGATATATTCTGTGCCAACACAGAATTACCAAATAATAATATGCTCAATGTTTCAACAAATCAGGAGCATTCTGATTACTTTTGTTGCCTGATGTGGGAGAAATAACAAAGTGGCTGGTGGGGGGGACACTTTTTATCTTCAGAAAAATCTACTCAACGTCAAGGATGATGCCAAATCGAAGCGCCTGTCGGTGGAGAGGATCTACCAGAAGAAGACCCAACTGGAACACATCTTGCTCCGGCCAGACACCTATATCGGCTCGGTGGAGCCCGTCACCCAGGTGCCTTGATGCAGCTGCCCGTCAACACCGATGGTTGTTTAACACATAGGCTTTCGTGACTAATATCCATAATATAGGGGTTTTTTTGGGTTAGATCGCGTAAATATAAATGTGCCCTTAAACCTGCCACCACCCAACGCAGCCAATTAGTAAGGTTTGTCACGTAAACAGAACATACCATAATAGAGGTTTATTGGGTTAGATCGTGTAAATATATTAATGTGTCATTAATGTGTCGTTTAAACCCGCCACCACCCGACACAGCCAACTAGTAAGGGTTGTCATGTAAACAGAACATGCCAATTCGAAACTAGTACAGGACACCGGTGTGTTGGAGAGCCAAGCCACAACATTTACAATCTGAGTACGACGTTTCGCCAGTAATTACAACTAACTTCATCAGGCGACAGCCAGATTTGTGGAGGAGTCTTAACTGATTCGTTCCATATATAGAGGTATAGTGGTGACCACACTTCTGCGCTCTTGCGCCACGTGGAGTAGGATTACTGAGAACGTACCAATTCATTACGCGTACAGCACACTGGTGTGTTGGAGAGCAAATCCACAACATTTACAATCTGAGTACAACGTTTCGCCAGTAATTACAACTAGCTTCATCAGGTGACAGCCATTTATATTTACGCGTTCTAACCCAAAAAAGCCTATGTTACCAATGGCTGTGCTTTCTTCACATCTGCGGGGTCTTTGTTAACATCTGTTTGTGTTTCGCCCATTGCAGAACATGTGGGTGTTTGATGAGGGAATCGGCATGAACTGCAGGGATGTCACGTATGTGCCTGGGTTGTTCAAGATTTTTGATGAGATCCTTGGTATGCTGGGATATTGTTTTTTCATGCAATACACTGCACTTTTTATATGGTTTTAAATCGTGTGTTCTGAAACCTTTTTGTAATGAAACCTTTTTGTTTCACAGTTAATGCCGCAGACAATAAGCAAAGGGACCCAAACATGACATGTATTAAAGTCACCATTGACCCGTAAGTTATTTCAAGTGTGATATTATACATTTTATAGTCTTGCAGTAGGTGCACTGGTAATGTGCAAATGATTGTACTTGTGTATGTGGGTGGCATGCAGGGAAAACAACAAAATCAGTGTGTGGAACAATGGAAAGGGAATCCCGGTGGTGGAACACAAGGTGGAGAAGGTGTACGTGCCTGCGTTGATCTTCGGACAGCTGCTCACCTCAAGCAATTACGACGATGATGAAAAGAAGGTCACAGGTATGGCTCGATTGTGTTTATCAAGATACCGGTGAGGAATGGAAACACTTAATCAAAAAAATACTGCACGTTAAATGTAGGTGACATCCATTCACTGTTTATGCTGTGGAATGTGCTTAGAAAGTTACTAAAGCACAACTCGTGAAAATAACTAACTGTAACGATGTTTCCTTTCTTTTCAGGTGGGCGAAATGGTTACGGAGCAAAATTGTGCAACATCTTCAGCACTCAATTTACTGTAGAGACATCCTGCAGTGAATCTAAAAAGATGTTTAAACAGGTACCAAACGCTGATACAAAAAGTACAATAACAGTGAGGAGGTTACTAATGGAAGTGATACACATTCCAGGAGAGGTGCATTGGTTCGCACACTGCTCAATGAACCCAGCAACCTGTCTTATTTCTAGATTTGAAGCTTTCGTGACTGCAAGGATCCATACTCTTTGGTTTTATTCGGTAAAGTCACATACGTGACTTTACCGAATAGAACCAAAGAGTAACGTGTCTATTTCCTAGCCATGACTAGCATTAGTGGCGAGTGATATCTGAGCCAGTCCTGTACTCCCGTTTTCAACCCACAATGGCCATCGTTGTGATGTGTGATCAAACAAACCCCATTACAGACAAGGCATTGGGAGCCTTTCAATCTACACTCTTAATTATTCTGTTTAAATATTGCCTGATGGGATGGCTCAATTGCGCACATGGTGGATTTGTAGCCAGTTTGATTTGGATGCACACTGCTTAGACCCATGTTAATGTTTTCACAAAAAACAGTTAATTTCTCTTCAGCATTGTCTGTTAAATAATTTAATTTAACAAAATGTTGTTTTCACAGAAATGGATGAATAACATGTCAAAGGAATGCGACTCTGTGATCAAGCCCAGCAGTGGAGAAGACTTCACATGTATCACCTTCCAACCAGACTTAACCAAGTTCAACATGACCATACTGGACAAGGACATCATGGCAATCATGACGCGCCGTGCCTACGATATAGCTGGGATCTGCAAAGGGGTCAAGGTTTTCCTCAATGGCCAGAAATTGCCTGTAAGAAACTCTGAATTACATTTACTATCTAGGGCCATGCTCAATCATGGGTCTAGTCCTGGTTCATTGAGGCTATTGTGTTGTCTAAATTACTCAATATTTGTCAAATAAAATACAATACAGGGCTGACGGTTTCACTTTTTTGAGCATCATAGTAAATGACATCACCCCCCACCCCTTCTTCCTCAGCTCACTGGCTTCAGGAAATACGTGGACTTCTACCTAAAGGACCGTGTGGATGAATCGGGAATGCCACTACATGTGGTGCATGAGGTCGTGAGTAACCGCTGGGAGGTGTGCCTCACCATAAGTGAAAAGGGTTTCCAGCAGGTCAGCTTCGTCAACAGCATTGCCACCACCAAGGTACGTAGGTCGCAAGCCAACCACTGTATATGGGCTTATGTTGACTGAGAAGCGCACATGCACGCCATTCCGGTTTTGATGCAGTTATTGGGGTAAGAAGACAATAATTTGTTGAGTGAAATTTTGTGTCCTTTATATGTGTAGGGTGGACGACACGTGGACTATGTAGTGGATCAGGTGACAAGCAAGCTCATTGAGACGGTGAAGAAGAAAAACAAGGCTGGCATTGTTGTGAAGCCTTTCCAGGTGATTGGTTGACATAAAAAAAATCTTATTTGGAATGAATGTCTCGCAAGATTTAACATCATAAGCCATATTCTTAGTTTTTTCGGTAAAGTCACGTTGAAGAGAAACAACAAAATAACAAAATATATATAAAACAATAAAAAAATTCTCACGACGTTTCGACCATAACTCAAACGGTCATCATCAGGTGTGTCGGTTTGCATAAATTTATTTTGAAAACGGCATATTTATTTATATATAAAAAAAATAAGGTTTGCGTCACGCGCAGCGATTGGCAGTTTGCCCAGGACTAGTCCATCTATTTTTTGAAAAGAGGAGGGGGGAGACGAAATTTGTTTTTATGTATGCTGTCTGAAAGCCACTGTAAGCGTGAACAATCAATCAAGAACTGAAATGATTTATCAAATCTTTCCAATGATTGCTAAGATAGAATCCATCTTCTCGGTTGAAATTGTCTCTGTGCTTGTATATGTGGATAGCCTCATGAACGAATCTCTCATGGAAGCCAGATGGCTTACAAAGAACCTCCGTCTTGGAAAAGTCAATGGCATGTGAGCCTACTGAATTAGAACAATGATCTGCTACGGCCGAGGTGTTGGTCCTACCGTGTTTAAGGTCTGCTTTATGTTCACGAATGCGGTCTGAGATATGGCGTTTGGTTTCTCCAATGTAACTACTACCACAGAGGCAACTTAGTTTGTAGACACCAGGGTATTGTATGTCCGGAATCACATCTTTTACAGACGGAACCAGATCACGGATTTTATGTAATGTGTTGAAACGGACCTGGATCTTTTGTTTATTCAAGATTTTGGAGATCTTTTTTGTGATCCCAGCAATGTAGGGTAAAGTGATGGTTTTGAAAGGCTCCTCAAGAGGGTTCTTCTTCATGGTTTGAGTGATAGCTTTGCGGATTGTATAGTCGGAGTAACCATTAGCCCTAAGAGCTTGGTGTACGTGCTTGAGTTCACTGCTTATGTGTTCCTGGTCGGATATGCATTGGGCTCTATGATACAGAGTCTTGATGAGAGAATTCTTCTGTGATGGATGGTGGTGGGAATCCGGTTTCAGATAAGCATCCGTATGGGTAGCTTTCCTGAAACCGGATTCCCACCACCATCCATCACAGAAGAATTCTCTCATCAAGACTCTGTATCATAGAGCCCAATGCATATCCGACCAGGAACACATAAGCAGTGAACTCAAGCACGTACACCAAGCTCTTAGGGCTAATGGTTACTCCGACTATACAATCCGCAAAGCTATCACTCAAACCATGAAGAAGAACCCTCTTGAGGAGCCTTTCAAAACCATCACTTTACCCTACATTGCTGGGATCACAAAAAAGATCTCCAAAATCTTGAATAAACACAAGATCCAGGTCCGTTTCAACACATTACATAAAATCCGTGATCTGGTTCCGTCTGTAAAAGATGTGATTCCGGACATACAATACCCTGGTGTCTACAAACTAAGTTGCCTCTGTGATAGTAGTTACATTGGAGAAACCAAACGCCATATCTCGGACCGCATTCGTGAACATAAAGCAGACCTTAAACACGGTAGGACCAACACCTCGGCCGTAGCAGATCATTGTTCTAATTCAGTAGGCTCACATGCCATTGACTTTTCCAAGACGGAGGTTCTTTGTAAGCCATCTGGCTTCCATGAGAGATTCGTTCATGAGGCTATCCACATATACAAGCACAGAGACAATTTCAACCGAGAAGATGGATTCTATCTTAGCAATCATTGGAAAGATTTGATAAATCATTTCAGTTCTTGATTGATTGTTCACGCTTACAGTGGCTTTCAGACAGCATACATAAAAACAAATTTCGTCTCCCCCCTCCTCTTTTCAAAAAATAGATGGACTAGTCCTGGGCAAACTGCCAATCGCTGCGCGTGACGCAAACGTTATTTTTTATATATATAAATAAATATGCCGTTTTCAAAATAAATTTATGCAAACCGACACACCTGATGATGACCGTTTGAGTTATGGTCGAAACGTCGTGAGAATTTTTTATTGTTTTATATATATTTTGTTATTTTGTTGTTTCTCTTCAACGTGACTTTACCGAAAAAACTAAGAATATGAATTACTGCAGTCACGAAAGCTTTAAATCAAAAATCATAAGCCATGTTCAATCCACTGCTGACATGTCCCAGTGTGACAATACCTCCTTCCTCCTCCCATACATTGGCTCATTTTATCCCTCCATCTCTTAGATGCATTGCTACTTTTTTTCGCTATTTTTGATTAGTGTTTGTCCTCTTGTATGTTTTCCTAAATTAATGTAATTCCCAACATGCTTCTCCCCATGCTTCCTTCTGTGTCCTTCAGGTCTTATTCCATTTTCTTTTGTCATCCGATTATCTGAAACCACAATAAAAGCATGTTGAAAAAAGGACAGATGTGAAAATCGAAGATAATACCACAAATACACAACTATTTATAACCCCGAGGGAAACATTGAAAAACCATGATTATTGAAGGTGTCATAACAAGCAATGGGAGCATAAAAGTGGAAAAAAGGAGGTTGTTTATTGGCAAAGCACATATAACACTTTTTAAGATGGAAGTGACTGCCTATGTGGTTTTAAATATGTATGTAATAAACTGATTACTTTAAACCATTAAAACGGATGTCTTTTTCTGTCTATTCTATGTAGGTAAATCATAAATGTTTAGTAGCTTAAGTTATAAATTTTGTATTTTTGGTTTATCCAAGATACCCCCCCCCATTATTCCGGATAATCAAATGTTGACTATTTGATGGAATTATTGAAGGTAGAACAGGATCAAAATGATGGATGGGTGGGAGTGAGTGCAGGTTTGGAGTGCTTTAAAAAATGCATTTGAAGATGAAAAGCAGCATACCATTGTGCCAAAAGAGGAACGTTTCAAACACCAGCATACAACATACATGTTACATGAAATCACTTAAAGGGCCCAATTATATCAAACAATTTAAAACAATATTGAGTTGTATGTGTCTTTTAGGTCAAGAACCACATGTGGATATTCGTGAACTGCTTGGTGGAAAACCCCACGTTTGACTCCCAGACGAAGGAAAACATGACCTTGCAGCACAAGAAGTTTGGCTCAACCTGTTCCCTCTCCGAAAAGTTCATCAAGACGGTAAGCAAAGTGGTGTAGACTTGGCAGATTTGTGCTTTGTTGGTTGATAAATTTCCCACATAACATTGATTCCCTTTTTAGGCTCTTTTTTTCAGTCATGTGTAGGCTATTGATATATTTGCCAATATGTGAACATGATTGGATATGAGGTAATAACATTTACAAACATAAACTGCTGTTCTTTAAAAAAAAATCTTCAGTTTAATTCACCCATTGATTTTTCACATCTTGTGGCAGGCAATGGGCTGTGGGATTGTTGAAAGCATTTTGAACTGGGTGAAGTTCAAAGCACAGTCTCAGCTGAACCAAAATTGCTCTGCCAAGAAGATTTCTAAGTTGCGGGGAATTCCCAAGCTGGATGATGCCAATGATGCAGGTATGCACAAGCCTTAAATGCCACCACACAGTACTGCTTGCATCTGTACTTGGACGCATTTTGAGTGAACTGAACTTGTTTCGTCACAGGTGGAAAAAACTCCCAGAAGTGCACCCTCATTTTGACGGAGGGAGACTCGGCCAAGACTCTAGCTGTTTCTGGGCTGGGTGTTGTGGGGCGTGACCACTATGGAATCTTCCCTCTCCGTGGGAAAATGCTCAACGTGCGAGAGGCTTCTTACAAGCAGGTTATTAACTCATCACACAGAAACTTAGGATTCTTATTTACATCATCAAAGGTGCAATGTGTCAAGGACAAAACATTGAAATGTGTAAACAAATCTCGTAAATTAAGTAAACCTTTTGTCACTCGGCAGATTATGGAGAACGCAGAAATCAACAACCTGATCAAGATCGTAGGCCTGCAGTACAAGAAAAAGTATGACGATCCTGAATCGCTCAAGACTCTCCGCTATGGCAAGATCATGATCATGACAGATCAGGTAATGAGAGTTTTTGGCACTAAGATTGTTTTGCAGAAGCCTGCTGCTGTGGAAGCAATGCTGTAGTGTTTGTGCATTGCCTTTGTGTGTTTAGGATCAGGATGGCTCTCACATTAAAGGGCTTCTCATCAACTTCATTCACCACAACTGGCCATCCTTGCTTCAACATCGTTTCTTGGAAGAGTTCATCACCCCTATCGTCAAGGTGAGATGGTGACATTACCTTATCCTATTGATGGTCCACACTTGGTGGTGGTATTGTTCCACCCCACTGCAAACGGAGACCTCACCTTTGGAAAAAAAAATCAAGTTCTCCACGAACCCCTGCTTTTTTGTGTTGTGACCAGGTGTCCAAAAACAAGCAAGAGTTGCCATTCTACAGCATGCCCGAGTTCGACGAATGGAAGAATGAGACAAGCAATTACAAAACCTGGAAAATAAAGTACTACAAAGGTTTGTCCTTGGTAGCATAGCTCATTAAAGTAAGCTTCACAGTTCAATGTACATTTGTTGTGCATGCACGATCTACCTAAGTTAGAGGTCATATTTTGCTTTTATGTCTTTAAACCTACCATTGCAAATGGTGATGTTTAGCTTTCTTCTCGACATGCCAGGTCTGGGGACCAGTACATCCAAGGAGGCCAAGGAGTACTTTGCGGACATGAAACGCCATCGCATCGAATTCCGCTACTCTGGCCCCGAGGATGATAATGCGATCACCCTGGTAGGTGTCCTGCCGTTGTCCCAATGGCAGCTGTTGTAATAAATTGCACTTGAATACATGGTCAAGTGTGTATACGTCGTAAATAAATTTGGCATCTTTGACATATAAATGTGATTGGTTCTTCTGTATTCTGATGTCCAAGCAGTAAGGGTGTTAACATGAACATCTGAAATGCATTTGTGTAGGCCTTTAGCCGAAAGAAGATTGAGGACCGCAAGGAGTGGCTGACGAACTGGATGGTGGACCGTAGGCAGCGTAGGGAACAAGGGCTGCCCGAGGTACCAGACTAGGCTGCCATCGCCTCAAAATCGTACTCCTGCCACTGTGCGTGAATGCTTTTTGCTAAATGACGCTAATGTTCAGGTCCAGCAATTATAAACTGTTTGTTTGTTTTTTCAGTCTTTCCTTTACGGAAAACAAACTGCTTACCTGACTTACAACGACTTCATCAACAAGGAGCTGATCCTCTTTTCTAACTCGGACAATGAGCGCTCAATCCCTTCTCTTGTTGATGGTGAGTTGTTTGTCTGCACCCATTATTAGCTCTTTGAATTAGGTTCTGTAGAACAGTTTCTTCGTTTAATTAAAATTACATTTGATCCTAAACTAGCAGGGAGTACCCGGCTTTGCCCGGGGGAAAAATATATTTCAAAACGTGTCTTCCATTTGTCCATCAACAAAATAAAAAAGAGGCTTGCAGAAGTCCTGAATCAAAAAGTAATGGAAAGTGGGGGGGTAATTAGTTCTAAAAGGTTTCCAAAAATTGTCAACCCCCAATTTTTTTTTTACCCCCCCCCAGCCAATTTTTATTTTGTAGACATATACTGACACACCCTACATGCAATAGTCAGTTGTATCTCGTGACTATAGTAGTATCTGGCTCTACAATAGTATCTACTGACTATAGCAGTATCTACTGACTAGTTGTCTTCTCACTGTACAGTAGTATCTACTGAGAACAGTTTTACCTACTGACTATAGTAGTATCTTGCTGACACCATAAGCAGTATCTGACTCTATAATCGTGTCTACTGACTAGTACAGAAACTTTGGATTGCGAGCATAATTCGTTCCGGAAACGTGTTTGTAATCCAAAGCACTCGTATATCAGTTGTGATCACGTGACGCTCGGCAGACAAAGCGTATACGTACTACTACTCGTATTGGAAGACCTCGCTCGTTTATCAAATTAATATTTATTTTAAGATTTTGCTCGTCTTGCAAAACACTCACAGACCAAGTTACTCGCAATCCAAAGTTTTACTGTATCTGCTTACTCAACAGTAGCTTCTACTAACTATAGTAGTATCTAAGGATTGTACAGTAGTATCTACCAACTCTACAGTAGTAACTACAGACTACAGTAGTATCTACTAACTGTATAGTAGTAAATTTTAATTTGAAGCTTTCGTGACTGCAGTAATTCATATTCTTAGTTCTTTCGGTAAAGTCACATTGAAGGGAACCAATAAAATAATAAAATATATATAAAACAATAAAAATTCTCACGACGTTTCGACCATAACACAAACGGTCGTCATCAGGTGTGTCGGTTTGCATAAATTTTTTTAAATAAATAAATTTACGCGAACCAACACGCCTGATGACGACCGTTTGTGTTATGGTCGAAACTTCGTGAGAATTTTTATTGTTTTATATATATTTTATTGGTTCCCTTCAACGTGACTTTACCGAAAGAACTAAGAATATGTATAGTAGTATCTACGGATTGTTCAGATTGGATCTACCGACGCTACAGTAGTATCTACCGACTCTATAATAGTATCTACCGACTCTGCAGAGGTAACTGCACACATTGGGGTAGGGGGGAGAGAAGAGGACAGTAACTGCTTAATTTTTTTTCTTTTTGGCATTTTTAACGTGAAGGAGTAGCTCCCTCCCGTTGCCGCAAGCTCGTGCATTGCTAGGGGCAACCGCGAGTCAGCGTTTCCGCGCATGCGCAGATGCGTGCTTTAGCGCCCGCGATCAGCGGAATAATAAATTGTTATAAAGTGTGATTTTATTAGTTTACATTTGACCAAGAGCAAAAACAGATAGCGTTTTCGTCCAGGGGCTTAGTGTATTGTATCTGTGTACTTTGTTAAAACGTAAACCCAACAGTTTGTCAGTTAAAAGCGTTGCTAGGATAGGCGTGCACAGACAGACAGAGAGACAAAAAATAACGTTTATGGGTAAGATTATGAAGTGATGTCAGTAAATGTAACACTTTTTAAGGCACAACCTTGCATGCCCTTTATGTACTGTCATAGGTTTCAAGCCTGGGCAGAGGAAAGTACTCTTCACGTGCTTTAAAAGGAATGACAAGCGGGAGGTGAAGGTAGCCCAGCTGGCAGGTTCGGTGGCTGAGATGTCTGCTTACCACCATGGCGAGGTTTGTGACTCGACCACCACCTTTTGCGTCGTGCTCGCATCTCGACACACTGCATTGTTGTGAAACTTGAATGAGTGATATTGTCAATGTAAATGTAACAATGGGTTTTTGTGTTGCAGCAATCGCTCATGATGACTATCGTCAGCTTGGCCCAGAACTTTGTTGGCAGCAATAACATCAATGTCCTGCAGCCCATCGGCCAATTTGGAACCCGCCTAAATGGCGGCAAGGATGCTGCCAGCCCTCGATACATCTTCACCATGATCAGGTGGGCTACCATATGTCGCCACGTCACTGGCCATCACAGGCGAGGGTCTCGGCAATAATTTCAAACCCCATTTGCACAGTCCTTGACCAGTGCCTGTGTTGGTTTCCAGCACGGTCGCTCGTCTGCTGTTTCCACCCGTGGATGATAACCTGCTCAAGTTCCTGTGGGATGACAACCAGCGGGTGGAGCCCGAGTGGTACTGTCCCATCATCCCCTTGGTGCTGGTGAACGGGGCTGATGGCATTGGCACAGGCTGGGCCTCCAGAATCCCCAACTTCAACCCACGTGAGATCATCAACAACATCCGCCGCTTGCTTGATGGAGAAGAGCCTCTGCCTATGGTGAGTGTAGCACCCTAACCAAACTTTCTGTGGGAAAGGGGACCCTGAAAACGATTGCCAGAGTGATTTATAGGCTGAAGAAACTCCAGCCATTTACCCAGTATTTTGCTCTTTATTTATGGCCTTGTGAAGAGGCAGGATATTAGGTGTTTACACTTTGTGTAATAAAGATGAAGCCAGTATGAATGTTGCAGCATAACTGAAACTGCCTTGTGCTTGGCTATGTGGAGTGCAGCTGCCATGGTACAAAAATTTCAAGGGGTCCATCGATGAGCTGGGTCCTAACCAGTTCATGTTCAGCGGTGAAATTTCCATCCTGGACAGTGAGACCATTGAGATCTCGGAGCTGCCTGTACGCACTTGGACTCAGGTGAGCAATACTGGAACAGTGTATCATGTATTAATATGGTAGCATAAAATATCTATGCAATACTCAATATTTATCTTCCTGCTTTAATATGTTTTTCTCATATGTGCATATGCCTAACCATTGTGCCGAGCACTTCCTGGAGAAGTCAATTATAAGACCACGTATTTCTCTCCCTTGGCAGACGTATAAGGAATCAGTGCTGGAACCCATGCTCTCTGGCACAGACAAGACTACGCCGCTCATCACGGACTACAAGGAGTACCACACGGACACCACGGTGCGCTTCATTATCAAGATCAGCCGGGAGAAGCTGTTGGAGGCAGAGGCAGCGGGCTTGCACAAAGTGTTCAAGCTACAAGCACCGCTCACCTGCAATTCAATGGTACTGTCTGATGCCACGCAATTCTTCACTACATTGCTCAGGTTCTCACTTTCAAGGCAGTGGAGAAAACATGTTGTTTGACCAACTCGATGGTTGTGCTTTTGAATGCGCAGGTGCTTTTTGACCACCTTGGTTGCTTGAAGAAGTATGAGTCCGTGGCCGATATCCTGCGCGAGTTCTACGAGGTGCGTCTCAAGTACTACAGCTTGCGCAAGGAGTGGCTCAATGGTATTCTGGGAGCAGAGTCGGCCAAACTGAGCAACCAGGCACGCTTCATCCTCGAGAAGATCGAGGGAACGGTGGTCATCGGTCAGTGCTGCCTCTGCTAAGTTTGGCTGCACCACTCTGCCAATGCTCTGTAATTGTGAATCTTGTTTTTTTTGTTTGCATTTGTAAGGGTTCACAGCAGGTGGTAGTGCTTAATTACTTGACCACATGCATAATAAACACCGAAAAACACTGACCATTAACACTTGACACCTGCAGAGAATAAGCCAAAGAAGGAGCTGATTCGGATGCTGGAGGCCCGAGGGTATGATTCTGATCCCATCCGTGCCTGGAAGGAGGCTCAAGTAAAGGTGAGCAAGGGGTCTTATGTTTCAATTTACTCATACAGTGCCTGTTTACATTCCGCATAATGTTTGCAAAATGTAATATTATGAGCAAATGGAATTGGCTGACAACAATTGGATCTTTTGCAGTCAAATTTTGAAGAAGAGGCAAACAGTCAAGAGGACAGCGACGATGGAGAAGAGTCGGGCAGTGCCACGTCGTCCACTCCGTCATCTGGACCTGACTATAACTACATCCTCAACATGGCCCTCTGGTGTCTGACCAAGGAGCGCAAGGACGAACTGTTGCGGCAGAGAGATTTGAAGGTGTGTAGTGGTTATTGAAATGATCATCAGCATTTTCCTTTGATTATTAGAACAAATAGAAACTTAACAGCACGAACAGAAGCCATTTCCATTGTTAAAATCTGCACACTTTTTTTTTTGACAGATTCAAGAGCTGGAGGATCTGAAGTGCAAATCACCGTGTGATCTGTGGAAAGACGATTTGGCGGTATTTCTGGAGGAGCTGGATGTAAGTGATCAAACTTTTCTTGTTAGGAACCCACATTTCATTTTAGCAGCAAGTATTGGGCTGCATTATAACTTAGTTCACTAGGTGTGTCGGACACAGAATGATCACTTTAGATTATTGGTGCTCATCAGATTATTGGTACTCATTGTTTCCAACTTGGTTTTCTAGCTTACATTTTTGTTACTATCAAATGACACCACATTTGTATGTGTAGATGTGCAGTGTTATACAGTAAAACCTTGGATTGCGAGCATAATTCGTTCCGGAAACGTGTTTGTAATCCAAAGCACTCGTATATCAGTTGTGATCACGTGACGTTCGGCAGACAAAGCGTATACGTACTACTCGTATTGCAAGACCTTCGTTTATCAAATTAATATTTATTTAGATTTTTGCTTGTCTTGCAAAACACTCGCAGACCAAGTTACTCGCAATCCAAGGTTTTACTGTTATTGTTTTTTTTTATTGTCCTGCAATACACAACTTGGACACATTATGTCCAGTTACAGTGGCAATAAAATGGACAGCACTGGTATTTCAGCGGAACACCGCAGGTAACATAGCGGCACATATATGCATAGATGGGTCGAAGCTGTGGAATATGACTTCTGACACGTGCAGCTACTGAGTACCCATCCCAAATGCTCTGTCAGCGTGTGGAGGCCAAAGAGCGCAAGGATGATACAGCTGATATGGCAAGGGGTAAAGGTGGCCAAAAGAAAGCGGGCTCCAAGAGCCTGGCTATGAAGGCGGAGGTGGTGCCCTCGCCACACGGTCGACGTATCGTGCCAGTCATCACTGCTGCCATGAAGGTCGCTCGCAAAAAAATTAAGGTGAGGGTCTATTCAAAAAGCAAAGTTGGTGGAAGAATTAAATTAGAGGAGCAGACACCAAATGTGTTTAATGTGTGTGTGATTGCGTGGGAGCTGTAGCGGTTAGCACGCTGGGCTACGATCCCCGCGAGACTGATTCCCGCTCGCAGCCAACACCTGGACGATTATCTGATCCGGTCCTGGGCCTCCCCTAGATCGAATCGGACTCAAATAAGTACCTACTGCGGTGTGTAAACATCGCCATTAGGGAGACAAAGGTGGTCGGGCGTGGTGCTGGCCACCCCTTTGTGTACTGTTCCCAGTTTCATAGGTGCTCTCTAACATCACTTGCCCCAACAGTCTGTTAAAGCTACACGGGGTCTTTGTGTGCTTAATGGGGAGCAGTAGTGCAATGGTTAGCATGCTGTGCTGTGAAACCCGATGACCCGGGTTCGATTCTCATCCACGGTCAACACCAGTGACGATTATCTGAACCGGTCCTGGGCCTCCCCTAGGTCGACTCGGCCTCAAGTACCTGGTGCAGTGTGTAAACGTCACCACTAGGAAGGGTTTGGTGTTGGTGACCCACCCCCTCGTGCCGTGTCAGCCTTCATAGGTACTACTCGCTTAACAGCACTTGATCCAACAGTCTGTTCAGGTTATACTGGGGGATCTTGTTTTGTGCTCCAGACTGATCGCGACAGGCCTGGAGAAAAAAAGTATGATGAGGATGGAAATGAGCTGCTGTCATTCTCTCCCGATGAGGGCTCTAATCTCACAAAACGTGTGACAAAGAAACCGAAGGAAACAGGTTGGTGATCCATTCATGACCATCGCAAGCAGCCAGTAATTAAGCCAATATTTTAATCCATAGTAAATATTAAGTCCTAGAAAATCACTTTTTAAAGTCCAGAGAATTCTAATTGTTACTTAATATACAATGTGTTTGGCGGTACTAAGTTAACTGCTGTCCACAGATGGGAAGAAGCAAACAACACTGTCCTTCAAGCCAACAGCCAAAAAGGCGACCAAGAAAAATCCATGGTCAGAATCCGATTCGGATCTTGATCTGAGCAATCTGTCTTCTGAGGACATTAAGGTGCCCTCCAGAGATTCCAGGCCCAAGCGTGCTGTTGGTAAGCAATGGTTGTGTGAAACTAGAGTACTATGCCCTTTTTAAAAAAAAAGTCTATAATAAACATTTTTTTTACATAAAAGCCTTATGGAGCATGAAGAATTTCTAGTGAAGTCCTGATTTAGTATTTTGGACTTTTTATTTTTTTGCAAATGGGAAACGGAAGTGACCAGAGAAAACTCATGTTGAAAAGGAGAACATTCCATTTCCACATGCATAGGTTGTAAACCTTAAGGCTGTGTTGCCTTCTATATGTTTTGTCTACAGTTAGCTGTAAAATTCAAAGGCCATGTGTAAACTAGCCTTTTGCTCTTCCAAGGACGGGTGGATTGCAGTATGTCTGAAACTTACAAGCGAAAAGCAGACCGCGACGTGATATTCATTGCATGAATGCGTGTGAAATTTGTAGGCGCGCGGTGACAGACATATTTCATTTTAAGGTTATAATCCCTTGTTCACCATGGCGTCCTTTTTACTTTTATGTCTCAATAGCGTTACGGAGATCGTGTGACGTGAGGGTTCTGGCTTTGTAGTGAGGGTTGTTAGTTGATGCCGAGGAGGGGGGAGGAGGCGCCTCGCCCCCCATGTGGAGTGACGTCAGCAGCTAATTATTTTGAATGGAGTGGCGGCGGCGGCACTTGGAGGACGTCACCTGTTCACTATTATTAATGAGGGGGGCTGTTCGATGTGGAGTTACGGCAACTGCTCATGATTATGAATGAGGGGGGAGGGTGCTCCATGTGAAGTGACGTCACATGCTCATGATTATTAATGAGGGGGGGGATCATGTGGAGGACGTAACCTGTTCATGATTATTAATGAGGGGGGCTGGTTGACGTGGAGTGACGTCACGAGCATTAAGGACAGACATTCCTGGGTGATTTATACAGTATGTGTAAATGAGCACAGCACTGTCACCACACAATAATCCATGACTGAGAAATAAAAAGCACAATTACAGCAGGGAAATTATCTTGTCTGGTCTGTAATGTAACCTTTTTGTTCCTGTGTAGCCGCACAAAATGTTAAGTATGACAGTACAGATGAAGAGGTGGAGCAGCGGACTGTGAACCCGCAGATGTCAACGTCGAGCCACAGCGTGGACAACAGCGACAGTGAGGACGCGTTTCTGTCCATGAAGCCGGCCTTGCCGGCACCAAGGTGAGCACAGCCGCCCTCCCCACCTCATGCAAGCTCACGCCCAGTCCTCGCACCACAACTTGGGATTGATTTGCTTTAAAACACGCCCATTTTTTTGTTTTGTGTGTACGTTTTTAGGCGATTTGTTTACCTTTCCTATACTTTGCACTCCTATCGTGTATTTGTTGTAACGTTTTTACCCACCTCTCACTGGACATCTGTGAAAAAGAGCTTTGTGGCTCATCGGATTCCTCCAGTCTAAATAAAGATTCTGATTCTGAAAACCAACACACATGGCTAATTAAATTCTGGTTACTAATTGCAATAAGCTTTAAAAAATGTCTGAATGTAGCTATGCAATCCAATATAGTGGAATACTCCAACAAAAATATAAAAATACTTGTAATGCATCCCATCGGCCACACGGCCTTGTAGGAGCACACTTTTTTTTCCATCAGCATTGGTTTCATGCAAGCAAACCCTGGACCAGTTTTGACAATCGGCATAAGCGTGCTTAAATTAAATGCTGAACTGCCAGATTAATATAGGAAAGGACCTTACCGGTGTCATCTATTTAATGGTTTAAAAAATGAAGCGTTCCCATTGTACCAATTGACATTGTTCGTAATGTATTGTTGTGTTCTGCGGCGATCTTTAAGTGAAATATGCTGACTGCTAGGCTTGAGGGTTGGTGCTGAAATCACATTTTAAATTGAATCCAGCATATATTGGTGTTCACTGGACTGTCGGTGCTAACAAGGTATGTCTGTGTTTGTAAAAAAACAGCAGACGAAAGAAAGTGACCGAGAAATCTAAGGACTGCAAGCCGGACGGCACAAACCCCAAACCTGCCACAAAGAAAGCCATTGCATCCAGTGAGTGATGCTTGATATGAATACTGAATGTTTCCTATTAATGCCTTGTAATGTGTGCAGGTGTATCGTGAAGTGTAAGCTGTTCATGCAGCATGTTAATGTGATAGCATTTTGGTATAATTAATGACATCACTATTGGGAATCAGTCACGCAAATGGAGATTCCCAACTTGGTGAATCGGTTGACACCTGCGGACACTAACACCAACAAATAAAAATGTTTAGTCACGATGTCTCCTGAATTTTGATTGTATTTGCGTGCAGTCGACCTGCTCCTGGATTCTGAGGATGAGAACCTGATTGGGATCGCCAAAGCAGCAGTGAAAGCCAAAGAAAAGCCTGCAAGCAAGGCCACCACTAGCAAGGGCTCTAAAACCACTACCAAAAAAGGTATCGTTCTATTCTTACTTCCTTTTAATGACACTTTCCTAATATTCCTTGGTTCTGTATGTTGTCTAAGTATAACATGGCAATTTTGTAATTGTATTCACAAAATAGACGAATTGAAGAGGTAACTCTATCCATAAGAGGTTTTTTTTTAGGTTAGATCTAGTAAATATAAATGTGGTTAAACCTTCCACCACCCAACAACAAATTAGTAAGGTTTGTCATGTAAACATGCCAATTCGTTACTAGTTTGGCACATGGGTGTATTGGAGAGTAAACCCACATTTACAATTCGAGTAGAATCTAACCCAAAAAAAAACCTAATAGATAATTCTAGATTTAAAGCTTTTGTGACTGCAAGGATCCATACCCAATAGAACCAAAGAGTACTAATGGATAATGTTGATCGCATAAGGGTTACATGTTAAGTTAAATCTGTGTCCATGATTTCTGAAGCTAAGCTTACCATCTGTTGCTGTGTGCCAGGTGACACCAAGCAGCCGACCATCCAGGCTGCTATGGCCAAAGCAAAAGCCAAACCTAAAGCAAGTGGCTTTGCTAGCTCAAGCTCGGAGGATGATCTTGCAAAAACATCCAAAGCAGCCGTGGCAGGTAAACCTTGGGCCTAATATGTGCAGCCCATTAATTAGGTAGCCACTCAATTACTTAGGTTTTGCATGCATGAAGAATTTAACAGCCGGTAGCATTAGCGAACACCTGGTACCGATACGACTCTGAAAGGCAGTTGGGTGTTGTTCAAAAATGGAGTTGATTTGCAGTCATTGCATGAAAATTGTGAATGTTCTGCACAAGGTGGCACCATATGTCCAACTGACATCCTCAAGACACTTCAATGCATATGAAAGAGGCCTGTCCAAAGTTAATAGTCGCCAAAAAAAAGATTTTCCATTTTGAAAATGTATGCTGTCACCGACTCATGAAATTAGTGCATTGTAAACAAATGACATTTCGGTTTGAAAGGACTTGTTTTTAATGTAAGAATGTCTGGAAGTTTGAAGTCTTACATTTTCCATGATGTGTTTTTTATTACAATGTCATTCATCGTACCAATAGGTGGTGGAAAGAAGCGAAAGGTGCTTGACGATTCTGACAGCAGCACTGAACCAGTCAAGCAAAGGTCCACAGCTCAACAGGTTTGTTACCTCTGGTCCAAACTGTTGTTTGTTGAAGGGAATCTTAAAATAGGATGGTGCCGAATTGGGGCTGTGCATCTGTAGGTTGGCCGGTGATCATTTTTTTCTACAACGCTTAAGCTTTGTGGGTTTTTGTTTTGTTTCTGTAGAAGAAGAAGGTGGGGATGGACGATAGTTTCACACTCGATGACAAAGTGCCGCTGGATTGCAGCCCTTTACAAAAAGGCCCCCGAGCTGCTCGCGCCAAGAAGATCGTCAAGTACAACTTCTCCGATGACGAGTCTGACTCCCAGTCGGACTTCTGAGGCCGCAAGAAGGCGCTGACTTGTTGAGTAAGCGACCCGATTAGCGTCTGTTGCTCTGGATGTCAAAAAAAAAAATCACAATTTCATATAGATCTGTGTATGTACGTACAAATGTAATGGTTGCGAGTAGAAGGAAAAAAACTTGCTATACATTTGCGTCACAATTGAAGCGACAGTTTAAAAAGATGTTAAAGGTGATGTTATTGAGTCATTAAATGCTGTACGGGCTGGTCTCGCTTAGCAAGCGAAATACGGTTCACGAAAGTTTCTCGTTAAATGAAAACTCGTCATGGTTTTCCCATCGACTCCCACGTTAAAAGCTGACTTGCGTTTCGAGCCCCGTAATGTTCCACTCTTGAGCAACTTTTTTAACGTGAGAAATGCAAATGAAAATTTTTAAATTAAGTAATGAAACATTAAATTGAACACCATTGGAAACCTCATTTGCCAGTAACAAAATATGATAATTGTTTTTTTACCCTTTTATCTGGCAACAAAACTGACACCTTTTTTTTTACAAGGAGTCATGTTTACATTGGCCACAATACCTGCGGTCAGAACGCAAACAAAAAACAACTGTGATAATGTATGGACTGTCCGTGAAATTGATTGGTCCACACCCGAGACAGCTTTCTTTAGAGCCTCGCCACACATGGTGTTGGACCAGAAGACGCCAAAAAGCGCACAACTCAGACAATGCAACATCACGAGTATTAGAGCTCGGGGCGAAGAATTTACACCATTGGAAACCTCATTTGCCAGTAACAAAATAATTTAATTGTTGTTTTCCCTTTTATCTGGCAACAAAACTGACAGTTATTATATTTTGTTACTGGCAAATGAGGTTTCCAATGGTGTAAATGCTTACCCCGAGCTCTCATACTCTGATGGTGCATTGTCTTTGAGTTGTGCGCCTTTTGGCGTCTTCTGGTCCAACACCATGTGAGGCGAGGCTCTAAAGAAAGCTGTCTCGGGTGTGGACCAATCAATTTCAAGGACAGTGCCACATACATTATCAGAGTTGTTTTTTGTTTTCGTTCTGACCGCAGGTATTGTGGTCAATGTAAACATTGACTCCTTGTAAAAAAAGGTGTCAGTTTTGTTGCCAGATAAAAGGGTAAAACACCAATTATCATTAAATTGAACACTTACCACACATGAAGAACCAGTGCTTGCAGATGTATGTTGAACGTCTTTCACACTGTACATAGCCAACCGTGCTAATTGGAGGTGCCAATTAATGTGCCCCCACCTCTACCCCCCCACCCACCTCTTCCCCCCCCAACCCACCTCTTTCCCCCACCTCCCCACCCCTCTTGAGACGCCTGTATATTGTGACTCCTGCAAGTCTTCCATTCTCTAAACCTGTATTGACTACTCCTTGAGATGGTGTTCTCTTAGTTTGTCTCAGTCTTTTTTCCAGCAAACTTTTTAAGTTGTTACTCTTTATAACTTTTACTTTTTGAAAAATAAAACGTTTTTTCTTACGTACATTATTGTGTGTTGAACTGAGTGACTTTGCACCTGGCCATGTTGGCTGCAAGTATCAGTGCCAGATTATACTTTTTTATCATTAATCGTAATGTGTTTAGATGAAATCATAAGTAATTTTATATAGTTGTATCAGTTCCCATAGATTTTCACAAAATTATGACCTTAAACTATTTTCCAGGTTGCAATCATGTCGCATACATGTGCTGTTTATTAAATATAACTTGGATAACAATACTTATTTGAAAGTCAGATTTGGCCAAAATTTACATTTTAATCTTAAAAATGCTAAAGTTAATTTCATATTACAATGAATAAATGGATTAGCATGCTCAAGTTAAGCACCAGATAAGTAACTCATTAATTCAGTCAACCAGTGTTCCAAATGTTCTGTAATGACCAACCATAACATTTCTTGAAGTACATTAAGATAAATATACTTTATTTTTCTGTTGATAGGTTGAGAAAAGTTGCAATGTTTCATCTGAACTTCGGGACTTTTAGCTAAAGTATATACAAATAACCACAAGTGACTCAAATCTACAAACCAATAAAACCTATTTCTGTTATGGCAGTTTACATGTTTTCAGCAAATAGAATACACGTGGTGACACAGAGGCCCACTGAACCAGAGGGCTCGACAACATACAAAACAATTCTCCACGCAACCCCTTCTTTCACAACATTCATCTATGAAGTGAGGGTTTGCATAAAATGGTGAACGATTATTTTCAAAACCCTGCTTGTGACGAGTGTAAACATACGGTAGTGAAATGCCTTGGCGTATTAAAACAAAATGGGGAAAGTCGGTTACAAAGTTTTTAGGATTCATGATTACAATTTAATGTGAGGAAGTAGAAAAGTGGCTAATTTAAACTTTTCCACAAAATCCTTCAGTGTAGTAAAATACATGTGCTCAAAATACTTGCAAATTATTCATTAAATTAAGACTACTCGTCGGCGTAAGACCTACATGACGTGCTCATGAATACTTGAAAAGGCAAATATGTTACAGTCCCATGGCAACAGTCGTTACAATTATCTTAGACATCCCTCCATCCTTCACTACCTGAAGGAAGGCATAAAACATCACAAAATGACATTTACACCCCCCCCCACAACCTTTTTAAAAGTACAACTCATAGATACAAGACATCTGAAAGATTCAATAAACAGTAGTTTGCGAAACATTTCATTTGATATTTTTTTTTTCATTTTTCAAAATCGGTACAAAAATATTAAAGTGACTTGTGTTTTGGAAACAAAAAAATTATTACTTTCATTTATTTACCGTCGTAACAAGAACAAGCAGCCCTCTCAAACTGCAGTAATGTTTCGGCTCGACCTACTTTGCTTCTCGCACTCTTAGCTGAATGTAATACTCTATAAATGCTGGTGTTGACAAAGCTCTTGCCTGTGTGGGTGGGAAAGACCCAGAGGGCGTTTCACATCCTCCTGTGAACTCGCATTCAGGCCTCCCAAACTAATCTGGTTTGCATACAAAATAATTATGTCCCGTGTAAATGATGTAATCCCAGACTTGTCATTTGCGGCCAATTTGTGTTAGTCCACAATAAACATTGCACCTTTAGTGAGACTTGAAAATACATTGAAGAAAAGACATTGTCAACCAATTGCCCAGATGTATTATTTATTAAAACAAATGCACTATTAACTGAACTTCAGAAGGCATTAGAAAACAATTGTTTTAACTAAAGCAGTGCTTTTCATAAAAAAAAAGAATGCTCGTAATTTCTTCATGTGTTCAAACTTGGGATATTCAACCATTCTCACTAAATCTGGCCAACGTGACACCTGAATTGGCTCCACTTGAAAGCTGCAGCAATCACCTTTGATAACACGTTTGCTGCTGCTGCAAGATGTGAAATTGAGCAACAGTACAAACACCACCTTCATGTGCACGTTGACATTGCTGGAAAACACTTCCTGGAGCCGTCTTCTGCAACGCATCTTCCAGTGGTCAAAATCCCAACGATGAACCCGTTTTTTTTTAATGACGGGATTTTGAAAAAAGTTCACACTCATAAAAGTTCTTAATTATATGGAGCCGTTGGCTCAAACAATTAACAGTCTTATAAAACAACGCTTTTTTTCTCTTTTTGAATCGACCTTGAAAAGTTTCGCTCGCGTGCGACAGAAAGGTCAACTTCCTGCACGAGTCCAATTGCTTGCGGCTCTTCACCGTCGCGTGGGGCATCAGTTGCCGGCCACGGGAGGGGTCTGCGAGATCTTGGAGCTCGTCTTCTGCGTGAGCGTTAGTCCTTTCCCGTGCGGCGCGTCGTGCGCCGGCTCGGGCGTGCCGGCCGTGGGCGGCGTGGCCTCGGGCGTGCCGGGGCTCGAGCTTCCGCTGGTCGTGCCCCCTGCCTCCGAGCCGTACGAATTTTCCAGCATCTCCTGGATGAGGGGAGGCATGGAGCCCGGAATCTCCATCTTCAGCGTGATCACCCGCTCCATACCTGCCGGGGCACAAGCGAGAGAGAGTGGGCGCAACGGGCGGTTCGGATGGCTAGCGCCGCGGCAACCCTGCGCAGCATGTGGGCATAGGACCACCCCTGCTGTACATAACGACCGTTCAGAGACGTCTGCGAGTTGCAGGGTGGGTGTCCCGTTCACCGCTAAATCTCAGAATGCGCAAGCAGTTAACATTCATTTTATTTAGAGAGGCTTGGTGCCATTGTTTTAAAAGACATTGTACTCACTGCAGAGAACTGTAACGACACGACCGCAACACCAAACTGCCACGCGCCCTCCCGCATGGCCTTGTGGGAGCCTCGATATCGATAGTTAATTAAATTTTGATTTAAAGCTTTCGTGACTGCAGTGATTCATATTCTTGGTTCTTTCGGTAAAGTCACGTTGAAGGGAAACAATAAAATATATATAAAAATAAAATTCTCACGACGTTTCGACTGCAACACAAGCAGTCATCATCAGGTGTGAAAACCAATGGCAAGAACATTTGAAAGAAGTGGTGGTTTGTATTTATTTATTTTTAAACGTTAGCACCACGGATAGCGATTTTACGGTTTGTTCAGATGGACGAGTCCATCTATGTTCGGAAAAGAGGAGGGGGGAGACGAAAAATTAATGTATGCTGTCTGACAGCCACCGTAAGCGTAAACAATCAATTAAGACCCGAAATGGTTTATCAAATCCTTCCAATGATTGCTAAGCCAGAATCCATCTTCTCGGTTGAAATTGTCTCTGTGTTTGTATATGTGGATAGCCTCATGAACGAATCTCTCATGGTAGCCAGATGGCTTGCAAAGAACCTCTGTCTTGGAGAAGTCAATGTCATGTGAGCCTACTGAATTATAACAGTGATCTGCCACGGCCGAGGTGTTGGTCCTACCGTGTTTAAGGTCTGCTTTGTGTTTACGAATGCGGTCCGAGACATGTCGTTTGGTTTCTCCAATGTAACTACTACCACAGAGGCAAATTTAGTTTGTAGACACCAAGGTACTGTATGTCCGGAATCACATCTTTTAAAGACGGAACCAGATCACGGATTTTATGTAATGTGTTGAAACGGACCTGGATCTTGTGTTTATTCAAGATTTTGGAGATGTTTTTTGTGATCCCCGCAATGTAGGGTAAAGTGATGGTTTTGAAAGGCTCCTCAAGAGGGTCCGTCATGGTTGGAGTGATAGCTTTGCGGATTGCATAGTCGGAGTAACCATTAGTCTTAAGAGCTTGGTGTACGTGCTTGAGTTCACTGCCTATGTGTTCCTGGTCGGATATGCATTGGGCTCTATGGTGCAGAGTCTTGATGAGAGAATTCTTCTGTGATGGATGGTGGTGGGAATCCGGTTTCAGATAAGCATCCGTATGGGTAGCTTTCCTGTAGACAGAGTGGCTCATTGAACCATCAGGTCTCTTTTTAATTAGGACATCCAAAAAAGGTAGCTTGCCATCTTTTTCGACTTCCATGGTAAATCTGATGGCTGGGTGTATGGAATTGATGTGGTCGAAGAATTGGTCTAGAGCAGGCCGGCCATGTGGACAGATGACAAAAGTGTCATCCACGTACCTCTTCCATAAGGTTGAGCGCAGAGTGGCAGTCTGGATGGCGTCAGTCTCAAATTTCTCCATGAAAATGTTGGCTTTACCGAAAGAACCGAGAATATAAAGTTAATTAATTTTAGTTTTTCTTCTGGGTCATTGGAATAGGTTGACAGCTCACACTAAGCGGGGCTATGGCATGGCCTAAGATGGCAAAATCCTGTGGCCATTTGTATCAAATGCTCAAACTGAGATAGTTTTGACAATTTCAAGACGAGTGACACTTGAACCGTAACTGAAGGAGTGTTTGACACAACACCCCTTCTACGGACCGAACTTCCACCTGCTGTGCCGGTGGTGGCCGTGCCGCTTTGTGACGGCGAGCTCACCCTTGGCACTGATGCCACGTAGGTCGGTGATCTTCATGAGGAGCTTGGGGAACATGTGTGGTTTGTCGGGTCGCCGCCGGCGCACGTACACCTTCATGGCTTCCAGCAGCGGCTCCTGTAGCCGCTCCACCTTCTCTGGCTCCTCCAGGTCCTGCCGGTCTGCGCACACAAAAGACAAAGATCCCCCATGAAGCATTAACAGACTGTTGGGGAAAGTGCTGTTAGCGAGCACCCATTCAGGCCAGCACGGCACCTAAGCAAATGGGTGGCTAACCCCAACGCGATGTTTACACACTTCACCAGATGCTCATTTGAGACCCAGTCTACCTAGGGGAGGCCCAGGACCGGTTCAGATATTCGTCACCGGTGTTGGCTGTGAGTGGGACTTGAACTCCGGTCGCTTGGTTCGTAGCACAGTCCGCTTAGTGCTGTGCCACCCTTTCCAAAGTGCTTTTATCGAGCACCGATTAAGGCTGACAGCACATGAGTGGGTGGGTGGCCAGCGCCACGTCTAGCCGCCTTTGTCTCCCCAGTGCTGATAATTACTGTGTGCTAGGTGTTCATTTAAGACCCAATCGACCTAGGGAGAGGCCCTGATCCAGTTCAGATATCTGTCACCGATCTTGGCTGTGAAAGGGAATGAAACTGGGGTCACCGGGCTCACGGCACAGTGCGCCAACTACTACACTCCCCATGCATGCACATACACTTACGCGCGCATGTAAGCTCACACACACGGACCTCCCGAATAGCCTTAACGGACTGTTAGGGCAAGTGCTGTTCGCAAGCACCTATGAAGGCCGAAATGGTACACGAGCGGGTGGGTGGCCAGCACCAAGCCCGGCTGCCTTTGCATCCCCAGCGGCGATGTTTACACACACTGCACCAGGTACTCATTTGAGGCTGAGTCGACCTAGCGGAGGCCCCACGACCGATTCAGATAATCGTCACTGGCGTTGGTGGCCATGAGCGGGAACGGCTACACTGCACGAGTGGCCACGCCGTGGCCAGGGTCTGCCGGCACCTCCGGAGATGAGGCAGATGGCGGCGAGCAGGCCGGCCTCCGTGTCGTCCACGCTCAGGGGCAGCAGCTGGTTGGCAAAGGCGAACACGAGGTCGGTGAGCGGCCCGAAGCCCGCGTTGTGCATCTGCGTGCGGTTGAGCGTTAGGCCGTCTGAGAACGTCATTGTGTCCTGCTCCGGGGTGTAGCGCGAGCAGATCCGCAGGATCTGGGGAGGACGGACGCCGAGGGAGACAGACACACTTGGCTGCAGTGTTGCCACCGAAGAACATCCGGGTTTAAAGTACCTCAAGGATCAACGGGTTCACGTTAAATCGAGTCGGCACGTTTCGCGGCAGATCCACGTTCGTAAACGGAAATTCTTATTTTCGGCATGAAATTGTGGAGACGCCGGTTGGATTGCCCGACCTGGAGAGCAGCGAACCGCTGGGAACTCCCGACAGTTCAACGGAGGCATTGAAGCAACCCACCGCACAGCAAAGTAAAGCCTTCTTCCAGCTAACTTATCTGGGAGCAGACCTAGATATTGCTCTTCATCCAGACAAAGGCCAGAGAGTGCTGCCACCAAGGCGAAGATCTTATGAACTTGTCAGGGTCAACGGCGAGCGTGGCGCTGGCTCGCTAACGCAGCTGTGTCCGCAGTTGTGCGCTCACCGCCATGGATGACGCGGCCTGCAAATCCTCAAATCTCTTAATCGATTAACAGTTATTTGGGTTCAAAGAGACATTGTTGAGAATTCTCCCGTATTCACGCAGTAATCTTTCTCGATGAGCCGGTCTCAATAAACTCGTTTTTTTTAAACGTGCACTTTGCAAAGGTGAATCGTTTGCCGTTTTTTTTTTTGTTGAACTCATCCTCGCGCGGCCTTTGCTTCCTCAAGTTATAAGCGGAAGGACAAAACGCACTAGAAGGTAAATCAACCGTAATATGAAGATGATTAACGAGGGCAAGTGTTAGCCGGACACTGGCATGGTGGAGGCACCGGCGGCCTCCGTCGTTCGTTCGTCCCCCCAACCTTTCGAAAAGGGCCGCCACCCCAGCCGTGTCCGTGACTCGGACAACGTCGATGATTTTAAGCCACGACTGAAAGCTCAACGTCCTGCGCCATCACTGGGCTCGGTGCAATGTCGTTTATTCATTTACGGAGACTCGACTTTTCACGTGAAGAGCCCTTTGTGATTTTTCAAAGCAAGGTACTCTACATTAATACAGTAGCCCCTCGTTTAACGTTTTTAATCCGTTCCCCCCAAAACTACTGTGAACCGAAATAACTGTTAATCGATTTCACTTCTAAGTTGAAAAATAAACAAAAATCACTGAGTCTGCAAGAGAACTGTTTTCACTGCCAAAACAGAAAACGTGACAATGTAAACAAAGCCAGTCGAGCTCTAAACGATCATAAATGGGCGTCGCTGATTGGCTGAGGGCATGGCTCAGCCCCACTTCCGAGCACTCGAATTGGCCGAAATTGACGCCTGCGTTCATAATGTAAAAATCCCGTTTACCAAAATGTTAACGTTAAACGATAACCGAAAAACCGTAAACCAATGTTACTATTAACCAAGGGACTACTGTGATATCTTATTATTAACTCTTAAACAGCACAGAGGAATCTATGTAAAATACAGCAATCCATTTTTTGTCATAAATGGTTTATATATAGTATGTCGATTTTTTGGGGGGTGAAAATTTCACGTGGAATTTCCCAATTTACTCTAATGCTGTATAAAGCACGTTAAGACAACGCAATGGAGGAATTCACTTTTTTATAAAAATAAAAGTAATGTAAAATAATTGGGCCATTTTGGCCCAAAATTGACATAGGTTAGTATGTCAATTTATTTTGCGTGAGACTTTTAACACGGAATTTTCCAAATCCATTCAATATACAGCAGCAGTGTGAGCCTAAGCACAGTGGAGGAATTCACTTCAATTGAAAAATAAACCCAAAAAATCACCCATATTTAGCCAAAATAAAGTACGTATGTTGTTTTTTTTTTTGGTGATAAACTGAATGTGGATTTTCCCAATTTTCTTAAAATACATAGCACGGTAAATACACCACTGCCTAAACATAGCACGGTAAATACACCACTGCCTAAACATAGCACGGTAAATACACCACTGCCTAAACATAGCACGGTAAGCCTAAACGCAGTGGTGTATTTTGAGCCCAAAAACGACATTTAGATTCAACTAAAAATAATTGGTATTTATTGATAAAGATTGTGAAGAGAAGGATGAGCAGGAGCAAAAAATTGAATTTCAAAAAAACATTGCAACGAAATAAAGCAACAGAAATCATAATTTAACAGACTAGTTTGGCTCAACGTGTCATTCAAGGATGAATATGGATGCTATACCCTGGGCAGAAAGACATCTATTTAATAAGCAGACAACAAGCAAGGCGCTGCAGAGGAGACACATCGTATTAGATAACTGATGACACAAAACACTGCGAGTGCTATTGGAAACTGAAAACTGGGCCGCAGTGCCCATGCACGGAGTAAATCAGGACACAAGCAACGGGCCAGTGCAATTGAAACCGTGCCGATGTGGAAAACAGAGATGGTGGTGTTTGGCGGTGCGGCGAAGTTGCCTGCACCTTTGTTGTGCCTTTTATACGCCGCATATTTCCGAGTTTGCATTCTCACGTTGCCTTCCTTCATTGTTAATAATAATCCGGAGCCACTGACGCATCAACTCAACACGGGTCCTCTCGCCTCATAAACACCAGCAGCGTCCAATCTCCCCAAAACGAGTAAGATGAATTGACTGCCAGATCGCTCGATATTTAAAGGCAGACAGATGGGCTGTCAGCCACGCACTGTTTTAAGTTATCCAATCCATCACGGGCGGTGAAGAGATCTCTTTGAGTCAAGGCCAAGGCAAGGTCAGGCCCCTGACAGAATGTTAAAGCTAGGCCTCACTTCAAAAGCTGCCCTTCAGTGTTTCGCAGCCGCTGCGGCATTGCGCTACGTTGGAAAAAATAAATAAGCTTCATTAAAATTAAGGTCTGTCCGAGGGCGACACACGGACTACAGCCGTGTGGCATTACCGGGCTGTCACTCCTCATGCCGAGGGACACAACGAAGGAGCGACCGTCCGCAGTGGTGATCTGCCTGCCACGACGCACGTGGGTTTGTTGAAGTGCTTGGTGGCGCTGAAACCCCTCGTCACTTTTAATATAACGTTGATTAAGGTTTTTTTTTTCTTCCCGCGCCTCGAAAAACATTTTAATTGGAACATTTTTGCGTGAAACGCCGTTCGCCGACATCTCTTCTCCAATTATTTGGATTCGTAAACGAGGAGAAACGGCGCCGTTGAAGCGCTCCGGGCAGTGAACTCGGCAAAGACAAACCACAGAGCGCAATTGGCACTGTAACCGCAAAATAACCTCTCTCTCTCTCTCTCTCGTGGCAGGGGAAGCAATCGTTTGCAGTTCCCCCCTTCCTTCGGATTCCTGCCTCCTTCAGCAGAAAAAAACAAAGCGGGGAAAAAAGGGAAAACCGTGCAAAACCAGGAGGCACCTACGCCCGCACCAAACCCACTCCCTCGATCTCCCGAGAGAAGACGCTCCGGACCAGCTCCGCGGAAGTTTTTTGGATGCCACGAGGAGGTACGGGAGATGGACAAAGGTCAAAAGCTCAAGAGGGGGGTTGCAGCTGAAGTTGTGTTTATGTTCTAATGGAGAAGGATGTCAGTGGGGGTCGAGGCGATGGGCAGCAGGGTTAGAGCATTCATCTAGCGGAGCTGCCTTGTGTGCGCCTATGAGACACGGCCGCCTTGGCTGACGATAATCATGCTTCTCTGCACAATTTTCAGATTTTTGTTACATTTTCCACGTTTCCGGTCCATATTCCACAGCAGGTCGTATACATCGATTAAAACTCAATCCTCTAGGCACATTGGCACGTTGCATTAACATTATTAGCTTCAGATTTCTGAAAATGTCAACCTGCTCTCGTCTGCTGTTTCATTATTGTTATTTTAATCACCGTTCACTTTCAATAACTGTTGTAGACATACACACGGACTCGGACACATTGCCCACGAGCTTCCTTCTTAGATTTTTTTCTACAGTATTTATCTGTACGCTAATTTCGTTTTGATAATGTTCACCTTGAGCCTAACTTAAAAAAATCCTTCTTTATTTATGTTTCTTATATAATTTCCTCAGGTTGTCATGGTGACGATATCATCAGCAACGCCACAGTGGGGAGATGTTAACTCTCTCGCCTGGTATACAGGAGGTCGTGAGTTCAATCCCGACCCTGATGCCTGCGCATTTGAAGTTTGCAAGCTCTCCCCGCGGTCGCGTGGATTTTTCTCCGGGTCCCCCGGTTTCCCCCCCCCCCCCCCCCCACATTTAAAAACACGCGTTTTCAGAGTATTTGGCTGCTATAAATATCACGCGATAAGCCACTTCGTTTGTGGCCAGGTCGCTGCTGAAAAAGAGCTACATAGCTCAGTGGGCCTTACCTGATTGAGATAAAAAAAATCGTTGTTAATAGTTAGCAGGCAAACACGAGAGAGAGAGTACCGAGAGCGTCGGCAGTGTCAACCACCATCGCCCGCGGCGCTCTCACCAGGATGTCGAGGCAGGCGGCCTTGAGCAGCGTGATCTGGTCAGCGATGGAGAGGTTGACGAAGCCGGGCAGGCGCTTGGCGAACTCCACGATCTTGATGATGCACTTGGTGGCCAGCTCGCTGAACTTGTCCCACAGGCCCAGGTCCAGCTGCACGCGGTGGTCGGCACTCGAGTTCTGCGGACGCCACGACGTCAGCGGTCAGCGGGCGGCGGGTGGGCGAGGACACGCAACCCCCTCGCTCAGCACTCGCGAGAGACTCGCACCACCCACGAGGGACTCGGAGCGCTAGCGAAGGACTCGGGGAAAGAACCGACTCAAGTTTGTCCTTCCCCCCCCTGCACCGCCGATTAGCACGGTTGGCTACGTAGGGTGCAAAAGAAGCTCAAGGTACGTAGATACGTACAAGAGGTCATCACGAACGATGCTGTTGATGCCACCAGGCTGTGCCATCGCTTTACTTCAAATATATCGCTCGGTTGTAATGCATTCGACGTTCAGCCACCAAGGTCTGTCCCACCATCTGCCGACCTCTGGGTGTCACTGCAATGCCTGACTGGGTAAACAGTCCTCCTCCGTCCTGCATCTGCGTCACGCCCATTGCAACCTCCTCTTCCTGATTTAATCTCCGACACTTGCCTTGCACGTGGTTTAATGTTGAACTGCCAAGTTGCTTACGGTTTCCTGGAGCGATGGAACAATTCATCCCCTGGTGATTCAATGAACTGCCAAGATACGGGGGTTGAGATTTGATGCAAGAATCTTGTTTTTTGTTACAATGCTACAAATACAGCGCCTACTATTTACTATCTGTTACTCGTTCTCTGTTTTACCAGGTAAGGCACATTGTGCATTGTAGCTCTTTTTCAGCAGGCGACCTGGCCATCACAAGTGATAGGTCAATGAAGTGGCTTATCGCGTGGACATTTATAGCAGCCAAATACTCTAACATGAATGTTGATTAAAAAAAAATTGTGGAGGGAAAAACCGGAGGACCCGGAGAAAAATCCACGGGACCACGGGGAAAACACACAAATAAACAGGCGTCAGGGTCGGGATCAAACTCACAACCTCCGAGGTAGTTAACATCTCGTCACCGTCGCGCCAATTTAGAGCCCACAGGGTTGCTTTATCAAGTGCAGATGAAAAAATACTTGATTCTCAAACACACGAATGAATGCATCGTAACGGGAATACTATTTTACCATGAAATTCCTAACACCCTCCACCCGCACCAACATTCAAAGGCCGAAAGTTTACGCGATATAAGCTACACATTTCAACTCACGGTTGGTCATTCTGCTTCACCCTTTCCCATCAGTGCACGTCATTCCATTCCCATGACGTAAGTGTATGTCATTGCAAACAGAAAGCTGGAGAAACAGTTAAATGAAATAACTTGATGGGTATGTCTTCCGACCAAGCGCGAGAGCGTGCGGCACAGTACTGCGCCAGCTATAATAAGAGTGCGGTCGCGTCACTACAGTTCTCTGCCATGAGCACAATGCCATTAAGAAGAAGGGCGCTACTACGCCTCTCAAAATAAAAATGGACGCGAATCGCTTGCGCGTTACAACATTCAGTGGTGAACGGGATCTACCCCGCAACTTGCAAAAGTCTCGGAAGGGGAAAGGGTTCATGTGCATAACGCGGGTGTCCAAGAGGAGCCATAAAAACTGAACGACGCCCTGCCGTGCCACGCGGGTGTCCAAGAGGAGCCACATAAACTGAACGACGCCCTGCCGTGCCACCTCCAAGGAAGGTCCCCGTGCGCTCGCCGCGCGTGAGCGCACGGAATAAGAACGGCGCGGACGCCGCGGCCCTCCCGTGAGAAGGGCTCAAGATGCTGCCACTAAATGACCTTGTCGATCGATTTATGCAAAGAGCGGCCTTAATATACAACACAAAGGTATCGAGCAAAGTCAAACTCCCCCCCCCCACCCCTCCCCCACATGTCCCGACGGCTTCGTTGAAATCAATACGAAAGCAAGGTATTTTTTTTTTTACTTTAAAACTTTTCCCGATATTCCTTTTTTTCGCCCATAGCTCCCATCGGGGTTCCTTTTCGCAACGCTCCGCCGAGCGAGGCCGCCGCTAATTCTCGGTTACCGAGGGGCACCTCGCGCAAACACTTCGCCCCCACGAAGAGCGAGTTGTCAGAAAAATGGCACGAGTCACTCCAGATAAACGTCAGCCCTGTGAAGCCGCGTCAGAATGTTCAGGGCGATTTCCTTATCGCGATGAAAATGTTGCCAATGCACACGCCCCCCACCCCCCCCCCCCCCCCCCATGCATTACGCGTGGGTGTGCAACACTTTCAGCACAAACTTCAAACGGGTTTATTTGGTTTGTCCCAGGGGCACCGGAGTTGTTCCTCAATAAAAATAGGAGACACATCCTCCGTGTGCCAGCCCTTGGGGGTGTGGGGGTGGGGTGGTCGTCGCGTCTGTCGCTCCGCGTTTATTACTTGCCTCGGAAAAATAGGCCGAAAAAAAACGTGAATCTCTGGGAAGCAGGACTGCTGAAGCGTACTCGGCACAGACAGATAAAGCACTCCGCAAAAAAATGTGACCTGTCGCGTCTCTTGCAAATGACACCGTCCGTGCGCGTACAACGAATTTAGATTCGCTCGTAGAATCGCAGGATCATGAGAGTTGGCGCCAGCTTGCGAAGGCCTTCATCCAGCAGTGGAATGGCCATGGCTGACGACGATGATTTATGATGCGATCCTGATAAAGGACAGGCTGCGATCGAAACCACTACCTTGAATTTTCAAACGGCGATTGTTTTCCCTTATTTTATATAAACATCAACCGTGACTGATTGAATTTCAGAGCGTTAGAGCTTTTGAAAGCTTTCTCTGCTTTTGAGACGCACGCCACAACAATGCCACCACTTAAAGTGCTGCATCTTCCACAAAGCCCCAGAGGTGCCTCCGCGAAGTCTCACCAGCAACTCCCGATTTATTAACTCTCTCCTCTTGGGCGGACGAACACTCCACGCTGGCTGGCTGTCTGGCGGCGGTGGCCATCCCTTGTTTGTGCACTCGCACGTCCGCGCCCAGAGAAAACAACCTCGGCACCGGCGCGCACCCGGACACGGAATCCCTTCGGCCGGCCACCTGGCAGCGTGGGGCGTCTGTCGTGCGCTCGCGCGCGGCACGAATGCGGCGTGTGTGCTCTTGTGTGTGTGTGGTGTACGTGGGTACATGGGTGGGGGGTTGGCGTAGCGGTTAGCGCTACGCCCGGTTATGAAGCCGGCGACCCGGGTTTCGATTCCCGCTCATGGCCAACACCAGTGACGATTATCTAGACCGGTCCTGGGAATAACCCTCGGTCAACTCAGCCAGAAATTAGTACCCGGTGTGGTGTGTAAACATCGCCACTGGGGAGACAAAGGTGGTCGGGCATGGTGCCAGCCACCCACCGCCTCGTGTACCGTGCCGGCCTTCATAGGTGCTCTCTAACCAGCACTTGCTACAACCGTCTGTTAAAGCTATAGCGGAGGTTTCTGTCTTTTCCGTATGTAGTGCGAGCCGTGTGTGCGTGATGTGTATGTGTGCGTGTGGTGCGGGTGTCTGGTTGCGCGTGCTGCACGTGGTGAACGGTGTGCGTGCTGCACGCGATGCACGTCCGTCGCTAGCGGCTGCTCCCCCCCGCCTCCCCACTCACTCTCTCCCCACCTACGTCCGGCCGCACCGCTCCCACCGGGAGCCCCGCCGGCTCCCGCATTTGCCACTGCGAACCGGTGACCTTTTCAAAGCCACGGGATTGGGAGACGGCGCACTCAGTGTCGCGTGGACGTGCGCGACAGCGCCGTGGCCTGCGGGGAAATGTCAAGGAGCGCGGCCGCCGCCGCCGCCGGCTACCGCCGGTTTGCCCGAGATCGGCGGTGGCGGCGCTGCCGCGACCGAGGCCGGAGACAAATGACGCGCGCAGGCAGCTGGCGCCGCAGACCGGCTCTGCGCAGTCGCCGTCATTCTGGTTATTATTCGCGAGACAATTAGCGCGACCGACCAGCGGTGCGTTCCGTTTGGGAAAGCGCACGGCCGCAAGTGCTGCTCCTCGCGAAACGCGATGACGGTGGCGCACGCTTTGGATGAGGAGCCGCCCGAAAGGTGCTGGCGAGCGTTACAAACCCCCGTCAGCGGCATCGGCCTCCGGCAGGAGCCACGCCGCGCACCGGCGAGGCGGTGGCATTTGCCCTTCGGCAGCGATCGTCCCCGCAGAAATCGTCACATGTGACGATTTCAAGGTGGCCAGGCGATGGTAGCAGAGCGATGGATTTTTGCTAATCTATCCGTGCGGAGCTTTTAGCATTCCTGCCTTTTCTCACGATGTAAGTGGGACTCTGCGATAAAAAAATAATAATAATAATTATCTCGAGACTTGTCGGTTCTTTGCTGCGTAAATAGTAAATATCAGGCATCATAGTCAGCACTTGGGAGGAAGGCCCGGGACGCGGCACACGCAGCGAATGCGCCAGGGTGCTCGTGCAAGCGCAACCGAGGCCTGCCGCTCACATTACGAGCACAGAGCCGCCGCAATGGGCTCCTCGTCTCTCTATTTTAGGAACCGAAGGAGATAAATCAAAATTCACGAGCGGAGAAATGACAAGCGGGGCTTGTGCAAACGCGCAGAGCTTCCCGTTGTTATACGAGCACGCCAAACAACTCTTTGCTCGGGGATGGTGCAATCCCGGAAATTTTACAAGCCACCACCCACCCCCCCCCCCCCCCCCCCCCTCAATTTATGGAAATAAATGACGCTATAAATGTTAAAAGGCCTGTCTCGGATCCCTTGTGTACCTCGGAATGCGCCGTGGTGCAGTAAACGTCGGGCTTTGAAAAAAGCGCTCAGAGGAATTGTGATTCACGTGTCACCAGGTCAGCGCCAGGCTCGCACGCGACCCGCGGCCGCCACCGACCCTCGGCATTTATAGTCGCCGAGGCCAGACACCCAGACATTGGGCGGCTTCAAGGGCACTGGCCCGGCGCTTCAAACGACGGCGGCTGTATGTAGGTCAGAAGGCCCAATCAATACGAATTGACAGTTCAAAGGAAGCGCTGGCGTTTATACTTTAAAGATTCCCATTGATGGAGCAAATTTAGAGGACATGAGAGCACTTTTAATATCACTCTTTGACAATTAATTTAATCTTGCAGTGTGTGTGTGTGTGTTTTTTTTCTCTCCTTGGAGTGAAATCTTTCGGCTGACTTTCAAAAACGAATCTCTCGCCTGCTCGCCTCTGGGTGGAAAGGTCCCAGAGTGCACGGCCGATGATCCCCTCTGTGGCCATCGCGAGGGAACAAGCGCGTGCCGTTTACACAGCTTACGTTACGCGGTTCACTTTGAGTGGGTTTTTTTTTATCTACGGGACGAAAACCGGAGAACCCGGAGGGAACCCATACAGAGGAGGAGGAGAACATATAAGCTTCACGCAGAAAGGTGTCGCGGTGGCGAGATGTTCACTACCTTGCCTGGTATGCAGGAGGTCGTGGGTTCAATCGCCAACCCCGACACCTGTATATGTGGAGGTTGCATGTTCTCCGGTTTTTTCCCTTTCAGATTTAGAAACATGCTTTTGGAGTATTTGGTCGCTATACATTTCCACGCGATAAGCCAATTTGTTGAACTATCATTTGTGGCCAGGTCGCTTCTGAAAAAGAGATATGTAGCTCAGTGGACCTTACCTGGGAAAATAAAATTGTTTCGCTTCTATCAAGTGCTCAACCAAACACAGCAGTGGAATGTTAGCATGGTGTTCGCAATCTCATGTATTACAGACAAAGCGTGGGCAGGCTGCTGTGGACTTGCAATCCAGAGGTTGCCGGATCAATCTCCCACGCCTCTGTGCACCCAGCGGGGGGGGCAGGTGATGGGGTGCACTCGGGCACATCAGCGCATAGTGGGGTAAAGTGTGGGTAGTCCCAGCCCTTCCATGACGTTTCGGCCAGTGTAGAAGAGTAGGCCCTGCTCATTGCGTGAGCAGGGCCGCAGAATCACCATGTGCACGGCCGCAAAATCATTGGCGAGGTGGCGCTGCCGACGCACGCCATTGTGGTTTTCGCCGCCGGCGACGAGCGAGCGCCGGATGATTTAGGGGGGGACTCGTGACCCACCCCCCCCCCCCCCCCCGGTGGACGCCGAGCATCCGTCATGCGCACGGTTAACGAGCAACCCCCGTCAGCCGTGATCCTGCATTGGGCGAATGCCGTGGATGTCGAGACCAGGGCGCTGGCGGATGCGCTCGGCACTCGTGACCGTTGTTTGCTGGCAGCGGAAACGTCGTGCCGGGCGCACGTGCTCCGCGCCAGCCGCCGCCGCTGCTGCGCAACCGCGGAGGGTGGCTGGTGGATGTGCAGCTGTATCTTTGCCGCTCTTCGTTCGTTCGTGACGCGTAGCCGGCGAAGGGCCTTTGCGCCAAACGTGCGACCTACTTTCGGCAGCGTTCGCATAAACTGCTCTTGCTGCTACCAGACTCCGGCGTCTCGAGTGATTTGTTTCATCACGGTAGGGGCAGGGGGGGGGGGGGCGACCACGGGGGGCGGCGTCATTCCTGAGAAAGTCGCAGTCCCATCCGAATGTCGACCGCCAAGTGAAATGCGCAATTACTACCACTACTACCACGCTGATTTACCGATGAAAGCCTCACCAAGTCTCCGATTAGCAGGGCTTGCTACGTATGGGTGCGTACAAGGACTCTTTGTTGTCAGGTAGGGCCCTGGCGGGTTTTCGCAGCAGGGGGCGATGTTGCTACTGTGCTGTAATCCCCATTGAATAATTTGCAGGGCAATCTTCCGGCATTGGGGATGTTCTGAGTCAACACCGTTGAAGTTGCGTGGGGTATTTTTTTATAGCTATGGGATGAAACCAAAGAACCCACACAGAGCAGGAGGAGAACACACAAACTCCACGCAGGAAGGCGCCCTCAACTCGAATTGAATCGGGAAACTCCTTGCTGTGAGGCACCAGTGCTACCTCCGGCGCCACGCTGCCGCTATGACTGGCGAGCAGTTCAAATCTACAATCTGCATTCTGCTCACCTGCTTTCTGTCACGACAAATTACCATTACAACCGACTTTGGTGCCACACCGACGAGATACAAATCCTGAGCCACCAAGGCTGATCATTGGACCCGCACAGCAGGTGATACTTTACTGTGACACGCGCGTAAACCTGCGGCCAATGGAATTACCCAACGGCGGTCTTACACGGACACAAGTGCCTTTTGCACCAGAGCGACGCGGACGCGCGACGGAGACACGGTGGGGGGAGAGGCTCGCAAGTGGCAGGGCCACCGCTGACCCCAGCGCAGGTCACCCACACGGACGCTAGTGCCAGCCAGAGCTGTCCCCTAGGGTACACACGGCGAATCGGGACGAACGCCCCGGGGCCTCGAGCTTTGGGGGGGCCCCCGCGCTTCGACGTCACGGTGTCAGGTGTCATAGTTCCGGTTCAGTTTGAAGGTGTCGGGGGTGGGGGGGCGCACATGGCATGCGAGTTGTCCCGGGCCCCACACTCGCCACCCCCACCCCCCTATGGACGGCCCTGGCTAGCGTTACTCGAAATAGACACGTGAATAAATAAGCTTGAAATAAGCGTGTTCCGCTATTACATACTCGCGTATGGCAGCAGCGCAGTATGTCGAGGAGTGAAATGCCAAGTCTGCTGGCCACGACGTTTGGATGTGTTATTCTGACTCAATATAATTCTCGCTGCAGACAAGTGCCCTATTTTTTCCCCCCATCATCAGCAGGGAAGGGCGGCTTCTGAAACGAGCATAAAGTCGACGCGGCGCACGACCCAAGAGCGGCGCCGTGGCTCACGCACAGGGGCCAAGCGCCACCCTGGCACCCGTCGCGAAGACGTCCCCCCCACGGCCCACGCACAACACTCGAGGGAGGAGGCACGGCCCAAGCGGTCGTACGCGGCCACAGCAGGCACAGGCGCACGGACATTGCCTTCTCCATGATCTGTATCTACAGCAGAAAACCTGGGGTTCTGAACCCTGCAGCAATAAATCAGCCCGAACGCGGCCGACTCGAGCGACAGCACCGCGGAAACGGTGACCTCATCGCTCGCCACGCCGCGGCCTCGCTCGCGGGGCCTGCCGGGCACACACGCGAACCTCTCGGTCCCCGGCGCACGCGTCGCCGGGCTCACCATGGTGTACTTCCCCAGCTGGTAGAGCGATGGGAAGGTCTCCTGGTGGGCCTTGTGGACCTTCTCGATGAGGACTTCCATCTCGGCCGGCATGACCAGGGTCTCCGAGGGCTCCTGCTTGGCCACATCCTTCTTCTTCTTGTTCCGGTCGTTCCGCACGGCTGCCGGGAGGAAGGCAGAGGGGCGTCATTCATCGCGATGGAATGCCGTCGACTCATCCTACGCTTCGCTCGTGTGAAACGGATGAGGCACGAGTTAAATACGGCCGAGCGGCCTCGGCCCCCGCGGCTGACCGCTGAGGTCCGGGCCCCCGTGAGTCACTTCTGAGTGGCATCGTGGAGATAAAAGGGAGTTCAAAACTAAAGTGGTGGCGAGGAAACCGATAAAATACGTTTCTTTGTTTTTGCTTGAAATGCTATCTCCTACAGGGCCCTTTGCGAAGCAGTAAAACGGCATCGGCACAATTATGGCAGAGTCACTTCCCGTCGTATCCTTGCACGGTGAGAGCCAACGACACTCGTTCATAAACACGCAAGATTCCATCGCTGTCACTGTGAACATTTACCACACGGCCTGCTGGCCAAACCAATATAACTGCACTGGATATCTTAACCCTCGGACGATTAAACGCATCTCGTTTCCGGGTGCTCTGGCTTGTCATACCCAGTGCTTTCACAGTTTAATGTGCAACGCACATATAAAATGTGAAATGTAAGCGTCATGCGTCTGCAGTCGGCCCCCGCGGGACACAAGCGAGGCTCCCTGTTGCATGATCCTGTTAAACCCCGATTAGTTGTTTTTTTAATCCCTCTCTAGATGCTGTTTATGTAAAAAACGCAGCCACCGAACACGACTGGCCCACATTGCTCGCCGCACGAACATTCGCGGTCTCGTCTTTCTCAAGTGGGAAATCCTTCACATTTCAATCTACAAATAATCCCGACGTGGATAATTGCACGTCAACACATTCCCCCCCCTCCCCCCCCCCCCCGTATTTATAGACCGGCAGAACAGGACGGGCCCCGAGCGCGGCGCCTTGCGCCAACGCGTGCCGGCTTGCGGAGGGAGGCGGCGCAGCCACGGGGGTTGCATCCTGCACGGGTCAGCGGGGTGAACAACTAACGGCGGCGACGCCAAGCGCCGAAGCGTCCGGCAGAAACCTTTCCCCCCATCCCCCCCATCCCCCCCCCACCCCCCCCCGCTCTGTGTGTGGTCAGCGGAGTTAATTTCACGACCGCACCCGCCGGGAATCGATTCCGCACCTGCCCCGCAATATCTCCACCCGGGGGGGAACACGGGCCGAGAAGACGACGCGTTGCGGACGGGGGACTCGGCAATCGCGACGCGCCACGGCCGGGAAAACCCCGAAGCTTTGCTGTGACGAACCCGCACGGCCTTCGCGGCTCCGCCCGGGGAGCAACTCCGCTCGAGCCCGGCCAGAGATTCAGCCGTGGTTTTAACCGATTCCCAAGACCGGCGGGATTCGTTTTCAATGTCCGATCGCTTGACAACTCAAGGGGGCGACACATGGGGCACACGTCGGAATTCCTCCACCTACTTCCAATTCCCACGATAGTGCTTGGATGGGCGACCACCACAGCAGGTGTTAAAGGCTGCTGCGGGGACGACATTGTTCTCAGCGGAGGGCAGTGCCGCAAAAATCCATCGTCGTGTTCTACCTCGACGCCCTCACGTCCATGCCCCTTCGCCTTCATCTACCCAGCCTGATTAGGGTGGCAGAGTACGGGCTGATAACCCCTCATGTCCCCCGGCGCGGCGTGGAAAGGCACCCCATCCAGCAGGCTTGCTCTCACTCGGGCCCCGGCTCGGTACTCAAGCGCCGAGCAGCGCGCCCCCCGCGGACTTACACTCCTTGGACATGCCGACCTCGAAGCACTTCTGCAGGCGGCAGTACTGGCAGCGGTTGCGCGTCACCTTGTTGATCACGCAGCCCTTGTCGCGGGGGCAGGTGTACACCATGTTCTTCTGGATGCTGCGTCGGAAGAAGCCCTGCGGGGGGGGGGGGGGGGGGTGGGGGGGGCGGGAGGGCGAGGTGGGGGACCGCACGGGGGGACACGGCAGCACGCGCGCCAAGGTCAGGCTGAGCTGACGACGCAGACGCCGCCGCCGCCGGTCCGGTCGCTCGATTTTATTTGGGGCGGTGGGTGATTCGGCGTCCCCGGCGGCAGCGAGTTCGCCGCCCGCTCACGCTGCGGAGGTTCGCGGGTCCGGCGGCCGAGCCCGGGTTCACGCTGCCCGGACGTAGCGCCGCGAACGGCGCTCGTGGTCCCTCCGCAAGGCGTTTGGGGAGTTTAAAGATCCCGTGACGTTGTCCCAGGACGAGTCGGCTTCGCGTGCCGGCGTCGCGGTCCAAAAAATGTCGAGATTATTCACGAATGTATTCATCTGGTGAAGCCCCACTGCGACATCACCCCCTGCTGGTGGACTATATCCGTCTGTCAACCGCAGCGGCCTTCTTGAGAGCCCTTTGCGCTGCAAGAACGGTGCGGATACCAAACGCACCGGCGACGATTCTTGTCGTTACTGCCTCTAGATCCCCCCTCCGCCACCAGAATGGGGGTCGCGATCCGGCCCGGCAGGAGGCGAGCAGCACCCCTCCCCCCATTGTTAAGGAGCCAACGCTGGTGCTGCTGTTGGCGCGGCACCAGCGCCTCCCCCCCCTCCGCCACCCCCCGACTCCCACCGGGATCAGCGCGGGGAGGCAGGAAGGCATTCTCACTCTCGAAAACAGAATTACATAACGAGACCAGAAGGCGAACACGTAGCACGACACGGTGCGTTCGTGCCATCACAAGGGGGGGGGGGGGGGGGGGGGGGGGGGGGGGGGGGTGGGAAGTGAAAGTTTTTGTTTGTTTCGCTGTCAGTCATCGCCCTGAGAACTCGGCGTAATGCGGCGTCAGAAAGCTCGGCCCGGCCAGGCGTTCAACCTCAAAAGAGAACGAGCAGCTTCGACGCTCACCTGTGGCTCGCCGATCGGCATGCAATGGGGGTTTCCGCGAGCTAAATAAATAAACGAGCGAGCTAGCGAACGAGCGTTCGCGCTCCCGAGCGCGATTGACGCCCATTGTCGTTTGTTGTGTTGGGAGCCTTGGCGTTCAATCCTAGGAATCCTGGTAGGAAAGGGATGGGCGTGAGCTGGCACGACTATAAATAACGTTTATGGACCAGAAGTGCAGATTTACGGCATCTTTTCAGTGCGCTTTCCCGCAGGTTAACCGTTTCCTTCCTAAAGCATGGCCACAGCACAATCCCGTTTCGTTCAAAACAGAGGCAGCTAGAGGTGGCTGGGGGCGCAAGCGAAGGGACGGTCGTGGGGCAAGCCCTGAGTGCGGGGGTGGTGCACTCAGGGCTGGCACGCATCAGGGTGGCACACACGGCGTCTAAACACATGAGATACATGCAATCAATCAATTAACACTACGGCAGCAAACGTCTTCATTTCCATCTGCCTACGACCAACTCTTTCTCCCTACAAAACCAGTTACGCCCACTGCATCCCCCCCCCAGCAGCCAGAGCCGCACGCACGCACGCACGCGCCGTACGGGCGAGCCACGGTACCTTGCATCCCTCGCACGAGCTCACGCCGTAGTGGTAGCCCGACGACTTGTCCTGGCACACGAAGCACGGCTTGTAGACGCGCGGGGGCGGCAGCGGCGACGGGGGGCTCGGGATGATCTCCTCCGAGCCGCTGCTCTGGCTTTCCACGGCTGCAAAGTGGTGGGGGTGGGGGGGGGGGCACAGAGGCACGGAGTGGGGGCGGCGGGGCAATCAGCGCTCGCTCCGACCGCCACCGCCAAACGACGGGGGCAACGGCGCCCTGGGCATTTGCGCAGCGGCGGCAGGGCAACCTTCGACAAGACCGGGCCACGGAACGGAGATTGGCAGATGGACAGACAGTCAAAGACACGCACAGACAGCCCATCCACAACAGACAGAGAGACAGAGAGACAAATCGAGATACAGGCCAGGATGAAGGCAAACAACAGACATGTTACATGTACATATGCAGGTAAACAAATATAACGACAGACAGATTTATTAAGGAGGGGCGAGACGACTAACAGACGGACAGGCAGACAAACAAACTGACACACGAAAATACAAACACACATGCTGCACACACGGAGCCTGTAAACAAACATGCGTATAAACAGCCGTATCTAGGACTAACACAACATGCATTATTTGGGCAGAACAATGAGAGCACGGGAACTGGTGCCAGCCACGATTCACTGACCGATCCCGAGAGCCCTCCTGCCCACCCCCCCCCCCCGCTGACCTCTTCTCCCTTTTGGTGTAAGAATTTTATTTTGATAAAAAAATAATTCAAAAAATTACGACGCTTTGTGCTGCGATTTAAATTATCTCCGACTGCCCGCCAGCACAGTGACAACGGCACGAATAAACGCGCTCAGCGGCGGAACCCACCGCCTCGCGTAGCTGCCGAATCCAGCGGTCTAATTACACGCGCGCCCCTGCGTTATTTGGCCATCGCGGTCTCGCGCGCCGCGCCACCGAGGTGAGATCCCACCGTCGCTCAACGGGAGCCGAACCCATGCCAACGCCCGGCCGCGCAGGGAGAAGGTTTCGTGCGGGAGGTGGAGCAGCGCAACGTGGCTATCGAGTCGTGCGCGGGTGGCGACGGCAGCCACAAAGAGGGGGTTCGGGAGAAAATTGGGACAGGAGACCACCGCTCCGTTCCTCGCCGCCAGGGCCTGTGACAAGCGCGCCACTTAGGCCCCTCGGGGCGAAGGGCGGCGCGTAGGCGTCGGGGGTTGAAGGGGCCACCGCACGGGGTCAAAAGCACCATCGCGGAGCGCCGGCTGCGGGAATTCACAGCTCGCTCCGCCGCGGCGGATTCGGCGGTTCCGTTGATGCCGCGATAGAGACTTTGATGTGAGACTAAAGGACATAAAAGGGCTCGTATAACACACTTGGGCACGCTCGATCAATAGCCGTTCCTTGTGAATAAATACAACTGCCACGTCGATGCTATTGCAGCTCCGAAATAACTTTTTTTTGGTGCAAATGGCAGAAACAATGATTCCGATTCTGACGGCGTTACAACAGCAAAGCAAATTGTGCTCAGATCTGCGTTGTACGAGTTTTTGCTTACAACAAGGCCCAATATATATGTTTTTAAAGCTTCGGTTTGATTGAAAATGTACAAAACATCCTGAAATGGCTCGTGCTTACGTTTTGGCACCGCGACTATGAGCTTCCCATTGAATGGACAAGGAAGCCGCCGCACGCTGCGAAAATAAACAAATGGATCACTGCCCCCACCGAGCCGCAAGACCATCGCCACGAACTACAACACCCACAATGCACCTGCTCGCACAGGAACCCCCAACAACAGAGGCACGCTATTTTAATTTTGGAAACTCTGGCTCGATAATCCGGCAAATATTTTCCGCGTGTACAATACTATTATTATTCAAAGAGAGTCATGAATAATGGACATCTTTCACTGCTTGGCTCCATTGTCGTCATCGCTGCCTGCGTGGGGGATAGGACGGCGGGGGGCCCTCTGTGCCCAGCAAACGTCAGCCTTGCGCATGGAGCCGCGCTAAAATATTTTTTTTTACTCTCGTCTCCGGGCTACGGCTGCAGCGCAAGCGCCCGGGTGTGGGCAACGTTTCACCGCCCCTCCGCCGGTGCAAGATGCTCCCAGCGGCGCTCAGGGAGGGGGCCGTGGCACGGACGTTGAGACGTGGCGGCCGTGGTCAGGGCCAACACCCGGACTGCGGGCACGCTCCACGTGTCCGCGGCAGTCGCGAGCCCGAGGCGCTCATCTAGCGATGACCAATCCCCCCCCCCCCCTGCTCCCCACGTTGAAGGTGCAGAGACCGATTTGCGGGGTTTCACCGCGTGTCGTTTTTGCGCGATGTCCCGACGTTTCGTGCTCCATGCGCACGGCAGCTGAAGGAGAAGCGTCGAACATCGTGCCGAAGAACGCGCAGAGCAACCGGAATCAGCCTACGCAGAGGAGGCTAATTCTCGCAAAGTGGTTTGTATTCTATTGTTGCGCATGAAGGCAGGAATATGTTCGGCAGCTAAATGCCAATGTCGAGGTCTTCCAGCGACGACGAGAGTGCTTCTGGAGAGAGTGTAGTTTTGATTTTCCTCCTCCGTTGAAGGAGCGTAGACTGCAATGGTTTACTACGTGGTCCCACAATGGCTTGTGTCTTTACTTTCCATTGGAGACAGTGCTCTTACATTCTAAAATGAATTTAGAGGCATACGTTAATCCACTGCTGGATGAAGGTCTCCTCATGCCGTGTCAGTCACGAAGGTGAGCGTGCAGGACCGGTTCCGCTCCCACTTGTTACCCACAGCTGGGAATCGAACCCAGGTGACCGTTTTTGTAGCGGAGTGCCTCCTTCCCACCGCTCCGCCTCTTATAGCCATGGCAGATCTACGAACTTGGTTTAACCCCAGATAACTGTTGCCATGTCTGGATGGCAGGCATGGGCAGTTCTCCATGGAATTCTCACAGAAATCAGTGTCAATGGAAGCCACTTCCCCTGGATCCCACATTCATCATCATCAAACTAAACTATTAAACTCTCTTTTATTTTACCAGATAAGGACCGCCGAGCTATATAGCTCTTTTTCAGAAACGACCAGGCCACAAATAATAGCCCGACGAGGTGGCTTATCGCGTGGAAATTTCTAGCAACCGAATACTCTAAACACACGTTTCTAAATGTGGAGGTAAAAACAGGAGGACCCGGAGAAAACTCCACGTTTACTAGAACATGCAAACTCCCAAGTATACAGGTGTCGTGAGGACGGGGATCGAACCCACAACTTCCTGCATACCAGGCGAGGTAGTTAACATCTCGCCACGTCGTTGATGGCGGCGGCGGCGGCGGCGGCGATCGCTCCAGCTGAACGACGTCACCATGAGCAACGGCACCATGAACATCCGCTGTGCGCCACAATCGGCCAATTGATGGTCCACTCAGCGCCACAATGCACGCCGCACAATGACTAATTACAAGGGTCACATGTTGGGAACTCGCTGCCGAGATTCTTGCCAAACCCTACAAGTCATATGAATATATATTTATAGGACTTAAGCAGAGTTACAGGCTTAAGACTGCCAAAAGGAATTTAATGTTTACATATGAACATAATAACCGGCTCCCACGCTTAAGCAAAGTATCAATAAGGGAGACACGGAGGAGGATTGGATCTTGCGCTGGTCTTCATTATCCCTGCTGTGAGCTCAGCCCGTGCAGGCAGATTATCTGCCGAAATCTGACTCCCTTGGTGATTTGGCACGGGAATGTCGGAGACCCCTCCACGTCTGAGCAGCAGCGGCAGCGGCAGCAGCATGTGGTCGGTTCACAGCTGGAGGTCCTTCACAGATGAATCTCTGGCAAGATGCCTGCTCCCTGTGCTGGGAGAGACCTGCAGGGCTGTCCCTGCATCGGTATTCAGCAGCACACACTTGGGCGAGGCGTTCTGACATGTGACATGTGCCAGAAGCATCCGCACGTGTGTGTGCGTGCGTGTCTGTCTGTGTGTTTCTCAGTGCTCACTAACAGCACTTGCCCCTGCAAGTCTGTTAAGGCTACACGGGGGATCTTTGTCTCAGTCAGAAGCTTCGATTCCCGCTCACGGCCAACACCAGTGACAATTATCTGAACTGGTCCTGGGCCTCCCCTAGGTCGACTCAGCCTCAAATGAGTACCTGGTGTGGTGCGTAAACATCGCCATTGGGGAAACAAAGGCGGCCCGCCGTGGTGCTGGCAACCTCCCTCGTGTACCTTGCCGGCCTTGCTCGCTAACAGCACTTGCCCCAACAATCTGTTAAGGTTATACAGGGGATCTTTGTCTTTGTGTTTCTCTGTGTGGGTGTGCATCCTTGTGCATGAGAAGTCATATGCAAGCGTGCATCTGTGTGTATACGAGCGTTCGTGTGCATGCATCCGCGAGTGTGTGCATCCGTGCGTGTGTGTGTGCATCCGTGTGTATGTGCGCACTCATTAGTGTGTAAGCCTCTGTGTGTGTGCGTGAGCCCGTGCGTGTTTGTGTGTGCAACCGCTACACGACCACAGGGAACAGTGGTGTAGCAGTTAACGCGCTGCGCTATGAACCCGGCGACCCACGTTCAATTCCCGCTCACGACCAATAACTGTGAAGATTATCTGAACCGATCCTGGGCCTCTCCTAGGTCGACTCAGCCTCAAATTAGTACGATGGTGCAGTGTGTAAACATCACCACTAGGGAGACAAAGGCGGCCGGGCGTGGTGTTGGCCAACTCCCCGTGTGCCGTTCCGGCCTTCATAGGCGCTCGTTAACGGCACTTGCCCCCACATCCTGTTAAGGCTATAGGGGGGATCTTTGTCTTTGCATTGTCTTCCGCATGACGACCCAAAATCCACCCCGTGCGATAACGACTCCGTTTTTAGAACTCAGAGCAGCGTGCAGCTCACAGTCATTCACATTTGGGCCACGGGCGCCACTGCCCACGGCAGTATCACCAGCAGGTCGCGCTGCTGCATGTATGTTGAGCTTGATGGGCCACTTTGTTGAGATATTAGTGGCCAGGTCGCTTCTGAACAAGAATAAGTGAATACCTCAGTGGGCTTCGCCTGGGAGGATGGGGATGGTTTCGTGTTGTATTTGTACGCGTGTTGGGTTATCTGTTTACCTCTCGTGTACTTTGCACCACCGCCGTGTTTTTGTGCCGTT